AAAATACAGAAATATAAAACTGCTGAATTTAAGTTGCATCAAAATAAATTACCAAGGAAAATACAGAAAGCGGTAAATGTACTCAGTGAGCAAGGAAATCCAGATTGCCAGAAGCTTCATGGTGTTCGTCGTTTCTCCGGTAGACTTTTTCACTACTGATTCTGTCCTCTGCCAATTTCTGCTCCCCCGTTCCTTCCTCCTTTGCACTATTTATAGAGCATCATTCAACCCTTCCAGGAGCAGTTAACAAAAACTGCTACCACGTTCTTCGTGCGCGTTACAGTTTCTTCTTCTGTGGTGTCAAAACTGCACCCACGTTCCCATGATCTTCAACTTCTGCCACGATTTAGAAACTGTTTCCTATATGCGTGTTTAACTCCTCTTTATGATCTGGCCACGATTTCGATTTTACGCGGGTTAACCTTTCTTTCGATTTGGACTTCGATTTTATCGAGAACTTCAGATTTACTTTCGATTCCTTTTTATCTTAGCATCATATACTTCTAATTTCTCGGTTTGTTCCACAATAAACTTTTGACTATTACTTCTCCGATTCCAACTCTAACTTTCGATTTTATGTGCCATGCCATTCTAATTGGACATCGAATGGTTCCTCATCTACCTTTTCGTTTTACCGATCAGTCACGTGTTTCTCGATTTTTCTTTCCTTCATTTTTCGATCGCTTTTCTCGATTTCCTACTAACAATAATTAATAACATTTCACAATACATATGCTTTTATTGTTAATTATTAGTTAAAATAAATTATTTTATTTTTAAATCAATATACATATACTTATTTTTAATTATTTTTCATAAAATATATTTATACAATACAATAATGTTCTTTTTTTATAATTTCTTGTATTATAATATTATTTTTTATTAAATATATATGAGAAATAGAGTATGATTCATAAAAAAAATTGAGATGTTTTTTAAAAAGAGAGGAAACAAATAAATAATTTTTTTAAAAGATCAATAATGCAAAATATATAGACACGCGAATGTTTTAGTGTTTCCCACAGTTTCAAAATATTTCCCATGAGAAAAACTTACTGAATTAAAGTCACAAAATCATTAATAATTTATGATCCAATGATAAAAAAGGAACTTATAAAAAAATTATATACATAATGAAAAATAATTTTTTATATAGATTTGATAATCAAATTTATTTATTATATTTTCTTAATGAAACGAATTTACAGTTACACACTGCTAAAAATTTGATAATTTGAATATGATAAGTATTAACTAATATTTTTTTTCCTATAATTGTTTTTCTCATGTTCTCTTTGTGTTTCTCAGTGTGTGTTTTTTTTAATCTTGTATTGTTTATAGGATTATCAGATGATTTTGGTATTAAAATAAATTATTCAAAATATATCATTTTTACATTTTGAAGAAAAAAATTTGATTACTATTTACTAAAAAACAATTTAGTCAAATAAATTATTTTAATTTTGTTAGAGTTTTATAATACAATTAGTATGAATTTTTATAAGGAAAAGAAAGTTAGATAAACAATATTTTTGTTATAAATTTATGAAAGAATTTAGTAACAGGTGAGATTGAAAAATTATGTACTTAAATTTTAACTTTAAGAAAATATTCTTAATTTTTATTTAATTATATTTCTTATTATATATTAATTTATTTTTAAATGATTTCAGTATAATATTATACTCTTAGTTGAAGTGGTACTGAAAATGTGATATTGTGAATCTTTAGGTGATATTGAAAATGTGAAGTTTTATATTTTTTTTAGCAATAATATATTTAAATAATTCATTTTGACTAACTAACTAACTTTTCTTAAGGCTTAAATTTTAATTTGAATTTGAATTATGCTTTTGAAAAATCTTTTCCCTAACTCATGTTACTTATTTGTATCCTTAATTAATATGATGAATGGAAAGGATTTAATTTAGTTTAAAATATAAAAAATATTTTTTTTAAATACCCAAAATCTACATAATATAATTAAATCTACATAATATTTACATTTCACAATATCTATAATTGTGGCCTTTTATTTTATTTTTTCTGTAATTTTAGTTTCTTAAATTTTAAAAATCCATAATTTCATTTTATGTTTTATTTTAACATATTTTAACTACTACTAATATTGACTAATTAATTATGTTTCACTTGAAAATTATGATTAAAGGTGATAACACTAACTTTCTAGTTGGATTTGCTTTAATCTGATTGATTCAGTAAAAGAACTTATTTATATTTAAAAATTAGTCATAATTATTTTATTTAATCATATCTTATATTAAATCAACAAATATTTGTATATAATTGAAAATTTTAAAAAATATTTCAATATTTTTATATAAAATAGTTTATTTTTAAAATAATAAAAATTTTAATTAATAAAATGAAATTTTAATCTTTGATAGATAAATCATTATTTCAAAGAATGAGAAACTTACTTAAATCACAAATAAAATAAATGGAATTAAAGTTAAACTAAAATTTAGCTTTTAGTTTACAAATTTTATAGCTAAATTTTTCCTAATTATAATTTTCTAAAATTGTGAAACCTTTTGCATAGATTTATTAAACCAATGAACCATTGAAATAAGTATCGGACGAGAGATTGAAAATGAAGTAAAATATTAAAAATAAGTGCCTCCATGGAGGTAGAAAGTTTAAAAAATTTAATATATATTCAATCCTTTTATTTTTTAATTTCATTTGTTTTTCACATTTTAATGAAATAAAATATTTATCAATTTAGTTTTTAAATTAACAAATAAAACGCATTTAATTACATAATTAACTGGTCAACGTTAAATGTAATAAGTTTTTTGAAACTGAAAAGTAAATAAAAGTATGAATAATTGAAAACTGAGGAGATGAAATTACTGATTTTACAAAATGTATGAACAAAATTTTAATTAAGCCTAAAATAAAATATAATATAATTTAGCTTAAAAAAAATAAGAGATGACATGAGAAAATTTGGTCCAAGAGAAAAAAGAAAATCCATTTTTGATTATCCCATGCTGTGCTTTTGGATACGATTCTTTGTGTGGATAATCTGCAATTTTGCATATCTCATTTTCCTTTTTTCTTGGGACACAATGATGCCACCTATTCTCCAATCACACTTGATCCTGCACCCTTATATATCATCAGGTAGCCCGGCTATTGTGCTATTCTGCACATTCACCAGGTAAAGACCAACATTTCCTTCTTATCTGGGGTCTTATAAATTTCAACTCTATCCCTGTTCTTTGATGAGTCATCTCCAATTACAGTTTCTTGCTTTGGAATTTTTATTTTTTCTGTTCTAATCTCTTGTGTTGTTATACTATATTGCTGTTGTATGTTAAAAAAAAAAACCCGGTAGTTTTCCAAAGAATGAAAGCATGTTGCTTTCGAGAACATTTTCAGGTTTGTGTTCTTTTATATAAATTTATTAAATGTAATGGAAAATTAGAATCCATGTAATGCTAGAATTCGAAGCCCCATAAAAGAAAAATAAATAAAAAATTGCATGGAAGAAGAGATACTCAGATTTCAGATATGTAAAATTCTATGTATATTTTATCACTTCTATGTTACCCTTTTTCTATTTATGATTATAAATAAGTCTGCATCCCTTTTTCATGTTCTATTAGCTTTTCAGGTATATTCTGTCTGCCATATAGGAGGGAGCATGGAACAGAATAGAAAATAAGTGTTGGTATTCCAGTGGTGCTTATTCCTTAGTCAAGTGACTGAGGTTGTCAAAAACCAATTTAAAGGAGAATATGGCAAAACCTGACAATGGTGGTGATACTGATTCTGGCACTGAAAGAAGAAAGCAATTAGGAGAAAACAACTTGAAGAAAGGGTTGTTTCAATCTGAAGTTGTCAAGGTAAATTACCTAATTGATTACATGGGTGCTGCCATTTTTCTACTTTTCAGAGTTTGTTGATGGTCTTGCCTGGTTGGATTATAACTGAGAGCTTTTGATTCTAATTTTAGGTTAATTGCAGATATTTCATGATCTTTCTATTACCACTTTCTTCATTGTTGTAACTATTTCTCAGCTATTCAAAAACTGATGTGAATGTTGTTTACCATAGTGAAAATCTAATGCTAAAGCTGTACATCAGTCAGTTGCAGAAAAGTCCTTGTGGTTGAAAATTAAGCATCTTAATTCCCTGAATTTATTAAACTGTTTTGAGTAATTTAACTACTTGCACTTATGCAAAAGTGGGTTCAAGCAGTCGAGCAGTTGTATTTTGAACCCACAGAAGAGTGTTCTAGACTTGTTGAAGGTGGTTCCTTGTAAGATGGGCTCAATCTTTTTCTGTTTAGAAAAAAGAGAAAAATAAGCTTTAAGCTTAAATTGATGTAAACTTTCTAGAATCTTGTTGAGGAAAAAACTTAGATGTTACTCGTTATCTACTTTTACATACAAAAATTAAATCCGTGATGCAACCAATTCCAGGAAATGCTCAGTGACACGTCGCACTTTTTACATCTATTTTAGTTGATATTCTACTAATAACTATTATATTTGACTTTAATTTTTCTAAACAGTTTAGGCATTTAGGGTGATTTGTCGTTATCAATGGGTAGCAAGTTATTTACACACATGCAATATATATCTACCATGCCGAAAAAGAAGTTTTGATGTCCTATTAATGGTTAACCTCTGTTTTTGAAAGTTGCAACTTGCTTGTAATGATTGGGAAACCTGCTATTTTCCATTTTCTTTTAACACTAAATCTAAATGTGAATTTTTTTTTATTAATTTTCTGCCTACTGTTGTGCAAAACATGCCTAAATCTAGTCTACATCAAGTTCAGGAGAAGTTAGTCCAGCTGAAAATGAACCTATCTTTTGGTACATAATTTGATAGGGGAAGCATGTCGATGGCAAGAATCACACCAATGAATTCGCTAAAGCTACAAATTCAGGGAGTGAACCCAGTTGTGCTTTCTGCATGTGTAAAAATGGCTGTCGAATTGTACACTCAAGAACAAAAATAATGACTATTCTGATAAAGAGTGGTAAACCCCAGGAAGCTATTGCCATTTTTGAAAATCTGATTGAAGCAGGGCATCAACCATCTTTAGCAGCATATACTACCTTGTTAAATGCCTTGACCACTCAGAAGTGTTTCAAGCCTATACATTCCATTGTCTCACTGGTGGAAGAAAAACAAATGAAACCTGACTCAATATTTTTTAACGCTCTTGTAAATGCATTTGCTGAATCTGGGAACATGGAGGATGCCAAGAAAGTTGTTCAGAAAATGAAAGAAAGTGGATTAAAACCTAGTACATGCACTTATAACGCATTGATAAAAGGATATGGGATTGCAGGTAAGCCTGAAGAGTCAATGAAGTTGTTAGATCTTATGTCAACAGAAGGAAATGTGAAACCCAATCTCAAGACATACAATATGCTTATCAGAGCTCTGTGTAAACTGAAGAAGATGTCTGAGGCATGGAATGTGGTATATAAGATGTCTTCTTCTGGAATACAACCAGATGCTGTTACCTTCAACACTATAGCAACTGCTTATGCTCAGAATGGAAAGACTGCTCAGGCTGAAGCAATGATTTTGGAGATGCAGAGGAAAGGTTTGCAACCCAATGAGAGAACTTGCACCATCATCATGAGTGGATATTGTAGAGAAGGTCAAGTAAAGGAGGCCCTAAGGTTCGGATACAGGATGAAGGATTTGGGTTTGCAACCTAATCTTATTATACTTAATTCCCTGGTTAATGGTTTTTTGGACAAGATGGATGAAGATGGTGTCGAGGAGGTAAGCTTGAACCTATGATTGTTAGCCTGAACCTTTCTTCTTTTATAAACTTATTGTATTAGGATCTATTGATAAAGGTCTTCAATTATTTTACTTTAATTCTAGAGCCTTCTGACATAGACACAGAATCAATCATGGATCTCTTTAGTTCATGCACTCTTGACATTCATTATATAATTAATCTACAGTAATGCTAGAAGCAATGGTAAAAGAAAATTATGGACTGACAATAGTATTTTTTAATGTTATAAATGGAATTCTTTGTAGGACTCTTCCAGTGTATAAATATGCCTCCATCTTGGTGCAGTTACATTGGTTCTTGATTATTTATTTTTTAGACAATTTATAATGCTGTTTACCATTTTTGTTTACAATCTGCTATATGGTAAAGGTGCTATAAGTTGTAGCCTTCTAAGGTGATTGTTTGATTTATGCTTCGCTATATGTGTCTGATTTATGACTCTTCTTGTTCTGAATAGTATTTATCAACTTAGTGTGACAAGTATCGTGCAATTATTTAAAAAAATTTTGGCCGAAAGTATAAATATATACATTCTTCCTTGACCTCGTTATCTGTGGTGAACATCCATATTAGGTGTTAAAGTTTATGGACGAATATCAGATCCAACCAGATGTGGTAACATATAGTAACATGATGAATGCATGGAGCCAAGCTGGACTCTTGGAAAAGTGCAAGGAAATCTACAATAAAATGTTAGAATCTGGTATAAAGCCGGATGTGCATGCTTATAGTATTTTGGCTAAAGGTTATGTTCGAGCACAAGAAATGGAAAATGCTGAAGAACTGCTAACTGTCATGTCTAAATCAGGTGTCCACCCAAATGTTGTTATATTTACAAATGTCATAAGTGGATGGTGCAGTCTTGGCAGAATGGACAATGCCATGAGGGTTTTTGACAAGATGGCTGAATTTGGGATCTCTCCAAATTTGAAGACCTTTGAGACACTGATCTGGGGATACGCAGAAGCAAAACAGCCCTGGCAAGCAGAAGGCATACTCCAAATAATGCAAGAGTTTCATGTTCAACCCAAGAACTCAACCATTTTGCTTCTTGCAGAAGCTTGGTGTATAGCTGGACTGAAAGAAGAGGCAAAGACAATACTTCGTACTGTAAAACCTGAGCAAATTACCAATTCAGTTGAGGAAGAGGAAAATACACCAGCAAAAATTTACCCAAAGCCACATACTAATGCTCCTTTCTGTAGTCTCTTACAGATTCCATCTATATCTTCCACTAAAGGTTCAGCTTTAACGTCTAGAAGAAATATAAGGCTCTTTAGAGATGGTGATTTGGAGACATCATTGCTCACCACAAAATTCAAGTGTCATTCTCAAATTTGTAAATATGGTGAAGGTTTTTCCATTATGTTTAAACAGTTTCAAGGACAGCATGGTAGTACATACCACCAACTTGCAAATTCATGTACAGCAGTATTCTTAAACTAAAAGGGTTTGGAAGGTGGAGATTGGAATTTCTTTCTGATGTAATACAAATACAGTCTTATGTTGTCAACACAAACTGTTCATTTTTTGTCAGCAAAATACTCCTTATATTTTTAATGTAATAAAAAATTAAATAGACTTGGTTTTTTATGCTCTAACTTCTACTCTCTCCGTCTTATAGTTGAGTGATTCCTATTCTCTCTAGATGCTATGAAAGACAGGTAAACCCATCATTCACACTTGGCCCCAGTTTGCATTAATGGAACCTCGAGTTTGAACCAACCACTATTTCACTATTCATATCTTACCTTACGCTGAAATTCAATCTTCAAAAAAACAAATAAAAACAATAAAGTTCTAACTGTAAATGTCCTCCTTCTTTCTTTATCGGTTGTTTGAAAAAAAAAAAAAATTTATTAATTTCCACCTTACCATTTAAAATATTGGTAATTTCTTATGACCTATTCGAAGAAGAGACGAGAAAACATGAATGGAAATAAGTTGGGAAGATGGGAATAGATTAGCAATAGTGAGAATTAACGATGTTTGGGTGGACAGAGTAAAACAAAAAAACATTTATTCTAAGAAAAAAAAAATATATCAGCTTGAAGTGCACCTTCATTCAATTCTTACCAAATTCTCATCAATGCTGAATTCATTCCTGATTATTTTCACTTGTTCAAAAACATTTCATTGCCACTAAGAACATACATGTTACTACTTAATTATCAATTTACTCCCCTTATTTATTTATTTTATTCGATTTGATTCTACTATGGATAAAATTTTAATAAAATCAATCAATTTTTAAAAATATAACAATGCATAGTAACATCTTATACTAAACAAATAAGAAAAATTTATAAAACTACAATTAACCAACAATTTTTTATTTTTTTTTGCATTTTTAAAAAACTGAGAAACGTGTTTAAGCGTTAAAGAGTCATTTTGTGACATCTTTCATATTGAAGGACTTAATTAAACCTTTATATAATAGAGGAACTAAATTAAACAAATAATAGAAAAAGTGATTAAGCCAAGTGTTAACATTTTCAGATATTTAAGAGGGTTAATGTAATGTAAAGTAAAAGGATGAGAAGAATACGGCAAATTTGTTTAAATATGAAGAATGTAATTTATCCTAATTATTACACACATCAGTAGAACCCTCACTATGACTGAGATTACATTTATTTTTTAAAATATGAAATAACAAAAATTAAGAGCACAATATATATGCAAGTAACATTATTCCTCGCTATATTCCATAGACATTCAATAACCTTCTTGTTTAAACACAATCCTTCTCAATACCAAGGTTTCTGTAATAACAAAGCCTATATAGTGGGCGTTCTTAACAAGACAATACCCCTACAATTTATATTGCTGTTATTCGAACGCCCAGTATCAACAGTAACAGAAATAGCAAAACGTGACATTTGCAATATTGGTCTAGCTATGGTAAACTAGTAGTTTGGCTTGTTTTGTCGAACTGCGTGGATTATTGATCTGAAGGATCATAAGGAACTTTGCTAAGAAGCCAGACCAAAAGCACACCAACAAGAGCACCAGAAAGATGTGCAATGTGATTTACACTTTGCAATGAGTGGCCTCCATGAAAGGTTCCTGATAATGATGTTGAAGCTTGGGCTGCTTCCATAACCTAGGACGCTCACAAAGAATAAATCAATCATACAGAGCACTGATAGATACTAATGGTTGGCATAAACAAAGAATAAATGAATACAAATTATGAGCGTTTTATCCAAAACAAATAAAAACATTATCAATACAAAAACATGAAAAACATCAACGTACATAGGAAAACATTTACAAATATGATTCACGGACACCTTTTTGGCTATTTGACACCTAGTGAAAAAAAAAATAAAAAAATCATACTCGATGGGGAGTGTGTACTACTTGTTGGGTAAAATTTGAGAGAAGAACTACCGGAAAGATCTTCATCAATAGGCCATGAGCCAATACACAAGAGAAAATTACATCATTTTCAAACTAAAATTTTAAAGCAATAGGTTTGTAAGTTTTTCTTATTTATATATTGTTCAACTTGTCTATTTCTATAGAGTTGTAACTTCAACTTACAATCACTGAAAATCACTTCAACTTCAACTTCAACTTGTCTATTTATATATTGTTCAACTTGTCTATTTCTAGAGTTGTAACTTCAACACTGACAATCAATAATATAATATGAGAAAAGAGACCGAAGGAAATGATAAATGCCAACGAGGTGTTTATAGATGAGAGCGAGCATATATTGTTTACTCAAGGGATCAGTAATATACACCAAAAACATCTACATACATATGAAACCATAAACAAATATGATTCAAGGACACCTTTCATCTATTTGACACCAAGAGAGAGAAAGTAATGTGGGTGTAATAGGTATTATAGTGCAATAAAAAAAAAAGAAATAGAAGGAAATGAAAAATGTCAATTAGGTGTTTATAGTGGAGAGCGATCATATAACTCAACCATTTATGTAAGCAAGACATATCGTGATTTTGGAGCATGTTGAAAAAGTAACAACATTATTTTATGTTATAATATCTCTAATCACCTTCTCTACTACAAACTGACCCAATATAAGCACTTCAAGGATTTTCCTCCAGTCCCAGGACATCTGTATTAATTAAAAGCACAACCATTAAGACTTGGAAGAAATACCGCAAATAGATGAACTCCAGAATCTAATTCCAGGTACCTTTACAAGGACACTGATGGTAAATAACCCAAAAACAGCACCAGAAGCTCCAACAGAAACTGAATTTCTAGGTAAAACTAACCATGACACGAGGTTTGCTCCTACACCAGTAAGGATGTAAGAAAGCCACAAAGCGAAGTTCCCTTCCTCTTCTTCAACAAGCTTTCCTGTTGGGAAACAACAAAATAACAAACGCTTAAGCATCAATCCCATAACAACTCACTTACCCCAGAAAGACAAGTAATCGTGATACAGCCTTACCAAAAATGTACAAGAAGAAAAGGTTGCTAGATAGATGATTCCTGAACAAGTTAAGGCATCAGTCATCTTGTAAAATGAGAACGTGAGAAAGTATTACACTAAAATAAAAAAATAGTTAATATAAAAGACAAAGTCATAGATCAAATGAGAACTAATTTTAAAAAGTGATGATTGCTTATATAAAAAGAAATGCTGCTATTCATCTAACTATTCTAATATTCTCATCTTTATTCACATCAAAGCTTAAAATATAAAAGTAAAATAAATTTATAAAAGGCAGCCAAGAGTATTCAGTGTCCGACACACATAAGACATGATTACACTAATATTTTGAGGTGTCTATACTTCCTTATTTGGGGCAATGCATATTTGGAATGTACAAAACATAGATACAGTTCAATAAGTGCTTTAGTAATGTTCTCTAATTTTAAAATTAAAATTTCACCTGGATAACTTATATCAACCTATATCTCAACCTTTAGTACACAGGCTATGAAGGTAAAACTCCAATTCTGATTAAAAGCATCTTAGGAACTACATCTAAGTTATGTTCTTCCAAAAAAGAAATATAAAACACCTGGGTATGAAATGAGAGAGAAAGACACTCACCAATTAGCATGACAAAATGTAGCTGTAACAAACTGGTACCAAGCAGGCCAATTGTGGTATAAGTACAAAGCCTTCACCTGATTAACCTTGTACAAATGATATAAAACCATACATCATGCTGCAAACACTGAAAAAACCCTGTTTATGCCATGTCACTTTTTTCTCACCCTTGAAAAGAGCTCCTCTTTTTCGTTTTAAAGATTTTGACTTTCTCCCACCTACTTTCTCTTGAACTCATTTAACATTCCTATTTTTCTTTCTGTCTACTTTTTCCATTGTACCATTCATCTATCATATATTAACTTCCCCTCTCTCTTGTTTCTCTTCTAGTTCTTCCTCTCCCATCCATTTCACACCTAATCAAGAATTGCAGAAACATTATTTTTTTTTTTTTTTCCTTTCTCCCTTTCATTCAATGCTATAAAATAAATGGGCTCAAAACGGTAAAATGCAAGAGATACTGATGTAATTTCATATAGGCAAGGTTAAATCACAAATATGATTCCTCGATATATTTTATTGTTTCAGTATGGTCCTTTATGTTTTTTTTATTTTTATTTTTTGGTTTATAAAAATACATTTGACAGACCAAGATAGTACTTTGTCACTTCAAGGCACTATCTTGATCAACTTGTACGCCTTGGCTATATCAACTAAAATTAACAATGTTAGTTCAAAATAAAGATATAATAATAGAAACACTTTAAAGCACCAAAGTACATCTTTTTAAATTTAAGGTGAGAAACAAAGTATGTTTGTGTATGTTTGCAAAGTTCAGAAACATGTTAATCGTAGTTTTGTGTCTTCTAATATAAAATCAAGAATTTTTATTGTATTTCTTAATTTCTATAAAAACAAGAAAGATAAAAAAGTAAATAAGAAAGGTACCCGAAAAAAGTGGTCAGCGACGAAGACGCCAATGTTGAGGAGAATGATCCAGAATATGCCATTGACCCGTTTCTCCGGTTTCCCTTTTGGCTCGGGTTTCCCAAGTTCCAACTGCGACATAATATCTAACAAAGAAGCACTGGAACAAGGTGAAAAGAGCAGCAGAGGAAGCATGAAGTAGGAAGTGGGGGTGGACGACAAGGTGTTTGAGAAAACGCCGAAGCCATGTTAATCGGAGGAAGTACCTGATTTGTTGGACTTGCAGGGTGCAGGAGTGCGGGAACGAAGCGCGGATAAGGGGTGGTGAGGTTGGACATGGAGAGAGGGTTTGGTGTTGGTGAAGGTGGGAAAGGGAGGGAGAGAGTGCGAGAAGAAGGAGGATTTAGGAACGTGAATGTGAGAGAGTTTACATGACATTGATAGCAACTTCACTGGGACTCCAACTTGAGCCATTTTTGGTTTTCCCTGGGTGATGCTTTACATTCGTCCTCAACTCATCTCAATTTCTTTCTGTTCTTATAGACAAAGGTAATGATAGAAAATTTTAGTAAAAGGAATAAATAAATTTTATACTCTCTGAATTTTCATTTATTTATCAAGAAAAAAAAAGCCAATTTCAATTGAGATAATTATATCAAATTTTACTAATTTCTAGTATATTTTTTAAATGTCATTTTCATAAGTAACACAACTAAATATCATCTACAGCAATGTTTAAAGTTAAAAAATATTAAATGAAGAATAAATAAATAAATAAATTTGCACTTAAAAATTATATATTTTTATTTTAAAAAATTATTTATGATACTCATGTAACATTTTTTTCATAAAAGATGTGAAAAGTTCATAGTCTTTTTTATTTATTTATTTATAATTGTACCAGTATAATAGAATGGATGTTATATTTTGGCATGTGTTACGATGATAAATAGAGCATTCAAAATAAAAAATAATTATTTTTTGAAAGACTTATAAAAAAATTTAGAGGGTGTTTATTCTTGAATTTAAAAAAGGATAATACAACAAAAGGGACTTTAGACAGTTGACTTTAGAAAATGACTTGTGTTAGAAAAACAACTCATGTTTAAATTATTATCTTTTTTGCTTGTACTTTACCATCTTTTTTACATATGTCCAATTCTTCTACATTTATTACATATTATACTAATTAATTTTTTTATTGTTTCCCTTATTATTTGCTTTTATTCTTTGTTATTTTTTTAGGAATGATTTGAGAATTATACATTTGACGCTTGTTTTTTATATCTTTTTTAAATTGGATAGAATAGTTTATATATATATATATATATATTATTTTTGTGATATAATAAAATTTTAGCAAGTACAATAATTCGAATATAATAATAATAAAATTATTCTAAACAAAAATACATCACTTAAAAAATTATAAAATATATTTTACAGTAAACATATTTAAAATTATTAATTACAAAACAAGTAAGTATATATGACAAATATCAATAATATATATATATATATATATATTAAATAATTAAATTATTATATTTATTATTTGTAATTAAAAATATAGTTAATCATATTATTTATTTTTAGTACAATTATAAAAAATAGAAAATATTATTTGTTTTATTAAAAAATAGAAATTGAAAACATAAAAATATATAATATAAATAACCTTGTGATTGCAGATATTTAAAATCCAAGTAATAGAAAGAGCATTTTGGTTGCAAAGTTTTCAGAAATCCTACATGGCAAATGGGGACTTCGTGATTCGTGAAAACGCCTCCACCTACGTGGGTCTGTTGTTAGCGTGCCAACTCTATTCATCGGCGTAACCGCGTGCTGCCTCTATATTCATCGTGGGTTAAATTCAAGTAAAAAAAGAAACATATAAATACAAAATAAATAAAAATCTGGATATGCTAGAAAACTTTAAACCCTAATCCATTAAATTCTTCAAAAATCACAATCACATTCTGTCTTCCTCTCCGATCTGCAACGACATTTTGAGGGAACATCTGTGTTGTTGCGTCCAACCGGTCCTGCATTTTTCTTTTGCAGAGAGGTTTCGTACCCTGCGAAAATAAGAAATTATTTTTTTGTTTTTGTGAAATTGATTTCTACTTGGTCCATGACGGGTTTCTGATTTGTGAATTTGGCGTTGTTTCCGATCGCAGGGGAGGCCTTATTCGTGAGATTTTTGTTAGAAAGATGAAAAATACTGAGAGGTTTGCTAATTTTGCTTTAGCAGGTTAGCTTTTCTTGCTTAATTGTTGTTGGTAATTTTTCTCTTGCTTTCCTGTATAAGTGATAGGTCCTTTGAATTTTATTTTTTATTAGAAGTAAACTTGTGTGAATGTTAATTTTGGGTGTAATATATGCATGTGGGTGGAATGCGTTTGTAACATGCAACGTTGACGAAATTACGCTTTGGGTATTTAGTGCATGCAAATGTGATAAGCTATGGGCTTGACTTGAGTGAGAGCAAAATGATGGTGGTGCTATAGGATTTAGTAAGGTATGGGCCTATGGGGTTTAGATGGTTGCGGTATTGTGTGTTTGGGCTTTTCAGGAGTGAATTAGGGGTAAAGAATTGTATTTTACCTATTGAGTTCTCTATTGTTTAATTTTAATGTATCTGCGTGTGAGAAAGTGGAATCCATTCTTTTGATTTATAATTTTTTTCATTGTTAACCAACCTCTTGTTATCTCTTTTGGCAGGTTTAACCTTAGCACCTCTTGTTGTGATAATAGATTCAAATGTAAATGTTATCTTGACTGCTTGTCTCGCTGTGTATGTGGGATGCTATCGTTCTGTCAAACCAACTCCGCCTACTGTAAGTAGCGGATTTTATCCTCGCCGTCTTCTCTGTGTTTCTCTTTTTAAGAGTCTCGTGTCATGTTCTGACTTAACTGACTTGTGTTGCATATAATTATGCAGGAGACAATGTCCAATGAACATGCCATGCGATTCCCTTTTGTTGGGAGTGCAATGTTATTATCACTTTTCTTGCTCTTCAAGTTTCTATCTAAAGACTTGGTCAATGCTGTGCTGACAGTCTACTTCTTTTTACTTGGGATTGTTGCTCTGTCGTATGTTCTTTTCTTTGGGCAATTTCTCCCCTTTGTGAAGTAAAGAGTGTACACACACGCATATTATACATATGTGTGTGTCTATTTCAATCATTTTTGCTTTTTTATCAAACTTTTATTCTTCCTCTATGCACAGGGCAACATTATTACCATCGATCAAACGGTTTCTGCCAAAGCATTGGAATGAGGACCACATAGTCTGGCGTTTTCCATACTTTCGTTGTATGTTATTTGCTTGCCTCCTTTATTTCCCTATACACTTGCTTTGAATAATTTATCTCGTAACTGTTGTTTCAGATGTTCAACATTTCCTCCTGTTTGTTAGATACTGGCATCCTGCTAACCTATTGCTGGTTTTGTGGTGTGCCCTTGAGATATTGATATTATTACCTGATTGAAGAGAGTTTAGTAGTTGATAGGTTCCCGGGAATTTTTTTTCTTGTTCAAAATGACCACTTTTTTCCCTGGTAGAGTTATTGTCATATTGACTTTGTTAGTGGCAACTGCATGTACATGAAAACTTTTTTCACATAAAAGTAAAACACCTACTGGAGCTACTAAATATGATTTAGAAAAATGGACAAATTGAAGATAGAAAACTTATAAGGGGAAGTTTCTAACCTTCAAAGCATTACATATCATTTAATGCTATAGTATCTTTTGTGCATTTTGCATTTATATCTGTGAATGCCATCTCCGACAATGCATTTGTGCTTCATAGACAAAAACTATGTTCTTACTTTTAATTGGTAAAATTTCCATGTTCTGGTACTCTCGTGCAATAGTATGTGTTTGGATTGAATTCTTCCCTTTGTATTTTTCATTAAGGAAAATTAAATATTATATGTCCATAAATGAATATGAACCTTCTGTCTAAATGGGATAAGAAATCATATCTTTAAGAACAGAGAATTCTATATGCATAATCTTACAGATACCTCATGGTCTTGTTATTATAATTTAATTCTAAGCCATTTGCTTATTATCTTAATATTAAGCTAGTTGGTTATCTTCTTTGTTTTCAATTTTGTAGGATTAGTCTAATCAGATTGGGTTGTATGAATTTTTCATTCTATTCAAGCATGTTGTACTGATTGGGAGGAGATAACTATGTAATGATGCCTCATATTTCTTGACTTCTAATTCAAAAATGAAATTTTTACATGACTGTGATCATTGTCTCTTTTTCTTTCTTTTCTATCCAAAGATGTGAAGCTTGACTGGTTGCTGTGTTATGGTTTCTTAAATGAGTGTTTTTTAACACATGATATGATCATTGCATTATGTCAAAGCATTTTTTTTACTGGGTGCCTGTTTGCACTTGATCTAGTTGACATTTACTTGCTTCTATCATGCAGAATGATATTTTTCATTACACCTTTCTTACACAGCTTTGGAGATTGAGTTTACAAAGTCACAGATTGTTGCTGCAATCCCTGGAACCTTTTTCTGTGCGTGGTATGCATTGCGGAAGCACTGGCTAGCAAATAATATATTGGGTCTTGCTTTCTGTATACAGGTTTTGTTTTTAACTTTTTACCTGTGTATATTTGTTTTAATAATAATTTTCTTGTATAAAAGGATGCCTTTTTAGAACTGATATGGTTAGTATTCTTTGGATACCCATATATTGAATGTCAACCAGAAGACGGATTAGATAAATGTAGTGAATATGAAATTGAGAAAGAAGCTGAGATTATATGTCAATGAATGTTTTATTGCTCATATTCAAATTAAACCAGTGAAATGACCCCAATAACACTATGTAATATTCACAGGGAATTGAAATGCTCTCTCTTGGATCTTTCAAGACTGGTGCTATTCTCTTGGTGAGTAATTTTTTATTTAATAATGGTTAACTGTGCTTAAAGCTTTTTTGTTTTGTTTTAGGTACAATTTTTTCAATATCTTGTTCTATAACTCGGTACAATTGTTCCTGTTCATTTAAGATATAACTTGGTTTTAATAATTTACAATTTTTGGATAAAAGTTCCATGAATTTGTTCTGTTTGTGTTCCTGATTTACTCTAATTCCAAAGGATACTCGTTTTACTGTGCAAATATAATTTGATCTTGGCTGCACAAGATTAAGTATTATCTCTCATTGATTTTTTCATCCACAAGGTCTTTGCTTTGAATCTTTTCCATTCTTGTGTTATTTAGGGCGGACTCTTCGTTTATGACATTTTCTGGGTTTTCTTCACTCCAGTAATGGTCAGCGTAGCAAAATCATTTGACGCTCCAATAAAGGTTATTTTTAGTGGAATGATTTTATTTTCCTTATCTTCAGATGAAATTTAATACTCCCTTGATTCCAAAATTATAGACTTTTATACTTCTTTTTTCTTTCAAATTATTGTCATTATAAAATTCAAGCCTGATTTTTTTTTTTCTGGTTATATCTTCATTTAATAATTATCTGGATAATTAATTTCACATTTTCTCAACTAACTACATTATTTCTGTCTAATCAGTTGTCATTATCTTTTCCTATTCTATTCATCCTATTATTTCTCCTCATCTTGAACGTCTCTTTCTTTTTAGCCATGCTGCATGTATATGTAAAACTCAATCTTTTTAAACAAGTTTGGAGGTAATCTAAAATATTAAAAAATTCATATTGAGTAACTGAGAAGTTTAAATTATTGTTAAAACGATTTCATTGTGCAGCCCTTGTTAAGATTTTTTGGTGGAAATATGAAAAACTCGGTAAATCAAGAGTTGGGAAAAAAGTGTTTTAATGTAAATTGTTAAAAAATCTATGAAAATGTAGTTGGAAAAAAAGAAAGACTTGAAAAAGGATTAGGGGAAGAACACAAACTTTGATTATAATTTTATAATTCAAACAGTACAAGGAAGTACATTATATAGAAAGGTCAACTTCCTTTAATAATTAAGAAGAGCTCTATCAACTATAATTAATTAGCTTTACCACTTATAATAATTAATAGTGACTCTTTGTATCCCTACAATATCTTTACAATTATTGATAATATCTTCTTGTAAATCAACAAAAAACATGAAATTTGTAATTGAAAGGAAACAAAGTGAATGGTGAGAGAAAGATGTGAATTAAAAAGAAAATATGACAGAATTTCCTTTTTCAATCAAATTTTTTCTCCAATTTCCTCTTATTTTCTCTTCAACCAAACAAAAGAAAATGCATTGTAATCGTTGTATCTACGCTGTATTTTTTTTCTCATCCAAACAGATCCATGAAAGGCAGTAGTTTTGGAATGGTGGACGCAAAATACCCTATGCAATTTCTTCCCAATATTAATTATTTCATTTCTTTGGCAGCTTTTGTTCCCCACAGCAGATTCCACAAGGCCATTTTCAATGCTTGGACTTGGTGACATTGTTATCCCTGGTAGGTTGAATCTTTTGTATTGATGTATTTTCCTGTAATATTGATAGCCCTCTTGTAATATCAACGTTTATAATTTGCTTCTTAGTAGTATACATGTTATTAGGTTCTGCTAGGCTAGGGTAGGAATATTTTGAGATAATGGGTGCCAACAAAGAGCTGTCTTCCACTAATTAGTATAAAAAGGATGTAAACTGTTACTACTTTCAAGTTTCAAAACAACACTTTTTAAAATTAACTCAATAAAATGAAATAATTAATTGCTTGTTATCAAAAATAGGTAGAGAAATTACAGTATCTCCAATGGGAGATGATTAATTACCCTTTATTGGAGAATTGCTTGGAGCTACTTTAAGCAACTTTACCATTGGAAAGATGTGATGTGGCAATGTAAGTTGCTTAAAATTATGAAAGTTGCATAAATAAAGTTGCTTAAAAACTATGAAAGTTGCTTTAACAAGCAACTGTTGCATAAATACTTTTTTTTTCTACAGTGGAAGGGGGGGGGGGGAGATTTGGGGAGGAGGAAGGTACATTAGAAGGGATTTTAGAGTTTCTTAACATTGAAGCAAAATTCGATAAAATTTCTTAACCCCACATGGCGGTGTGGGTTCCAGATACAATTTTATTTGCATCAAGAAACTCATGAATTTTTTACCAATAGAGATGCCATTAGCCTCATCATCTGTTTTTCTTTAGGGGCACAAAAAAATTAGTTTGAGGGAGAATGAGGAACTTGGTTTACCCTCATATTCCCTTTCCCAACAAAAATCTGGAAATTTCCAAGCTTTGTCTTACTATGTGGGTAAGTTAATTCTTGGATTTTTTTCCTTATCGTTTTCTCTTCCATCCCTAGTTTACCACTCACTCAAACAAACAAATAAGTTGAATATAAAATGCTTGTGGTGATATCATCGCCCAACCCCCAATTATCTAGAACTACAAAGCTTTCCATCCCCTTCTGGTTACTTAGGTAATGTTTTGTCTATATTTTTACTTTTGAGTAGTATGATTAAGATTGGTAAGGTTTAGTGTTAGGGAAGGTGAGGAAAGAAAAGCAGTGATTTATTTTAATACAATTGTACCCTATTCATAGAAGGGTCATAGACCGTACCCTATTTTCCTTCTCATCTTTCCCTTGTATGCTTCTCCTTTAACGTACAATATATACACCAGTGAGTAATGCAAGACTCGCAAAAGTTGGTATTAGAGTGGGGGCACAAATTCACTTGTCTCTTTTGTCAACCATTGTCTAGCATTATTTACCATTGTCTACCTCCAACAATATCATTGGTGAGACTAGAGTTTTAGGCGCCTTAGTGAGCACAACCTAACCCAGCAAGTCACATGGCCAAAATCATCCACTTCCTAGAATACCGTTGCGCCTGCCCTAATGGTGTAGTTGATCCTCTATGTGGACAAGGGATACAATTATATATATTGTTTGGATTATGGTGATATCTTCTCTTGTGGCCAAAACCACTTTGGCTTTTTTTTTGCTCTAACTGTCATTTGCCAGTGGCCTCTACATTAACTAGATATTACAGATGTTTTTCTTCATGGTAACCTCCCAGGTTAGTTGCTAAGGGGAATCTGATTTAGTTTATAAATTATGAAGGTTTCTTTATGGTTTCAAGATTTTGAGCATGATTTGAGAAATTTAGCCATGTGATGTTGAAATTTGGATTGGAACAAAGTGAAACCGTTCATTTAGTGTTCTACTGCCATAGTTTTCTTGGGAATGCATTTATCTAATAGCCTATGTTGACGATATTGTTATTACAAGGAATGATGCTACATAAAGCTGAAATAACACATCTTTTATTACTTTCAAACCAAAGATCATTAGTTTTTAGAATACTTTCTTAGTATTGAGGTAGCCCAATCCAAGGAAAGCATTGTGATATCACAAAAAGAATATGCTCTGGACATTTTGGAGGAATCAAGCATGATTGAGTGCAGGCCCATTGCTAGTCCCATTAATAGCCATATGGATCCAAATACAAAAGTTAATGGCCAATCAAGGTGAATCATTTCCAGATCTTGAGAGACATGGGAGATTGGTGGGGAGGTTCATATACCTTACATTCACTAGATTGGTCATTCTTTTGCACTTGGGATTGTTAGGCAATCTATGCAATACCCCTACATTGATCACTAGAATGTTGTTATACACATTCTTAGATTATCAAAAAGGCTCTTGGACAAAGATTATTGGATGAGGTTAAGGGAGACTGGGGTTTTTGGATACTGTTGGTCTGAACTGGTTCGGCAAAATGTCCTTTAGATAGATGCTTTATTACTGAATATTGTGTATTTATTGTCTGGAAATCTTATTTCTTGGAAGAACAAGAAACAAAATGTTGTTGTTTAGTTAAATGTAGAGTTTTGGCATTAATTACTTGTGAGTTTGTGTGGATTAAATAACTCCTTCAAGAGTTGCAATTCGGTCAAACACAACAAATGAAATTGTATTGTGACAATCAAGCATTTCTTCACATTACTTCCAATCCAGTCTTTAATGAAAGAACTAAGTATGTAGAGATTGATTGTCACTTTGTTCAAGAGAAGTTGTTGTCCAAGGAGATTTGTACCAAATTTATCAATGCTTTTATTTGTTGCTCAGCTTTTATAAAGCTGTTTTATTATGTATCTAGAAGGGTCATTGGCTGTACACTTTTTTCATTCTCTTCCCTCCCTTGTAGGTTTCTCCTTTTATATTCATTATATACACAAGTGGTAGTGCAAGACTCACTAATTTCTTTGATAATCAAGTGTAATAACCTAATATTTCTATCTGTTTATAGCAATAACATGGTTTTGTGCCAGTACTAGTATATTACAAGTACATGCTCCCAATTTAAAAAACTAATAGCCGTAATCTTCTAACACTTCCCCTTAAGCTACAGCTGACAAAGCTTTAAACTTGTTAAATGTAGCACACCCATTAACATATAACACTCCCAGTACTAGTATATTACTCTAGTACATGCCCCGAATTAAACGAACCTACTACCCATGAACAAATTACAAACGACTTAACCAACACTTTAAACGGCTTAGTTTGATGTCAACAAAAAAACAAAAGAAACTAACCTTGGGAAAAGATTGAGACTGTTTGACTGGTCTTCAAAATGGGTATAATGCAATTCAGTAATAACTTCCAACCAGGTTTCCAAGCATTATTGAATTGGGTATCATACGACCTAGTAACACAATTAGGTTCCTTTACTACTGGCTCAAGTCTTTCAATCTGTGAACCCTTGAAAGGAAGCAAAAGAAATAACTATAAACAATAAGCTTCAAGTAACACAAACCATGCAAAACAACTAAAATGCCTCAAGCATAACCTAACACAGGCAGAACAGCAATGAAAACTTCCTGGCCAAACAGAATTATCACCAAGAAGATTTGAACAAACCCATAAGGAACATCAATGGAGATGTTAAACTGGTAAAGAGAAGACAAGTAAAAGACCATTTGAGATACTACTGGCCCTGCTGAACAATGCATAGAGGGAAAGAAAGGAAGCAAAAATAGCTGGAAACACCAACACCAACAACTCACATCAGAACTAGCATTTGGAACAGATTCTAAACAATCAAGAATAAGGAAACAAACAACGGAAATCCAAGGAGGATACTTATTGGAAAACCTCGTAACTTTGAACAAACAACATCTAAACTTTGTTGAATCCAGTCAAGAAAGAATTGAGAAATAGGTCTGAAACACAAAACAGAAGAAAACATAGTCTGGAACATAAATTAGAAACTGGAAATTTGGAATGTGTATTTATCAATTTATATGATTCTGGTCAGTTGATATAGGATCCAACCATATGTCAAACTGGAAATCAGCTACTTCCATATAACAATTTAGTTGTTATTTCTGTTTATTACTACATTTGTTTTTCCCTTCAGGTATATTTGTAGCTTTGGCCTTGCGCTTTGATGTTTCTAGACTAAAACAACCGCAGTATTTCAAGAGTGCATTTTTAGGATACATTGTTGGCTTAGTCCTTACAATCATCGTGATGAACTGGTTCCAAGCTGCTCAGGTGATTGGATATGTAGTTTCATTTTATTCATTTCTTTCCCTGGATTTGTTTAGATGGAAGAGAACTTAACTTTATTATCAAATTCACTGCTAATATCTGTGCTGGTTGAGAATGCCATGAATGGAATTAAGGATTTGTCTTCTCCGTTAAATATTAACTTCTTTTACTTTTCCTTTTATCTCTGTTTCAGCCTGCTCTTTTATATATTGTACCTTCGGTAATTGGATTTTTGGCTGCTCATTGCATATGGAATGGTGATATCAAGCAGGTTTGTTTCAATGTTAATTCATCCTTTTTTTCAATGCATCTGATTTGAGTACAATTTCTTTCACTGAAATATAATATTTCACTTTCAAAATATAACCATGTATAATTTATCACTGTTTAAACTTACGCTGCCGTTTCTTTTCCCCATCATAACAGTGTCACTTTATTGTAGCAACTAAGGTTTTGCACTGTTCAAACAATTTTTAAATCCTAAGCATATTATTGTTTAACTCCTCTAAAACGAGTGTATGAGTGTTAAATTGACCAGTTACACCATCAATACACAATAAAATGTCATAATATTGTGGTCACTAAGGTTTGTCACTTATACCAAAAGCTTCTTAACTGTTTTTGAAACATGGCATTCATTTTTAAGTGTCAAAATTAAATGTAGTATATATTTACTAAAATTTGCATTAAATAAAAAGCGCTTGGGTGTTGTTTTAACCCAAGTTACTTAAATATACGAAGCAGATAATCTAATTTATTGATGCTTATATTATTATGGAGCCATTAAAACTAGCTGAAGGATTCCAGATGTTTTTTAAATATAATAGTACATGAGGAAATAAAAGATATACATAGACATAGAAGGTAGGCTTTGTTAACTGACTACTATCTTGTAAATATGAAATGATTTGCAAGTTAGTGGAGACGTTGTGTCATTTACATGCTAGTAATTAGTCAATATGTTACTTAGCTAATGTGGAACTGTTATAACTCTGTTTCAACTCAGTTATTGGAGTTTGACGAGTCGAAGACTGCCAAATCATCTCAAGAGGGGAGTGATGCCAATTCTAGCAAAAAGGTTGAATAAGTCGAAGCGAGTTCAATACCAATACTTTTTTTGAGTCATAGAAGAAACACTTGGTTTTCTAGGAACCTCCATTACCTGTAATGCTAAGTTATTCATTCAGCCGCAACTTCTGTAAAGATTTTGACTAAGAAAACTAACTAGTCTTATTTTCAGTGTAGGATTTTGCATTAACTTCTGAAGTTTGTTGTTGTGGCAAAAATAGGCAAAAAAACTATTTTTGCCATTTAAAAGAATGATTTCACTTCTATGTAACTTGTTAGACGAGACTAATTTGATTGCAGAGGAAGGCATGTTTGTTTGGTTCATTTGAACGACTGGTGATGCCTCTTGAATCGATTCTTCTGGGATACTTTTGCCACTACTACACTTGAAAAAAATTAGATTTGTTTTTCACTTGTACTATTTATATTTAAAAGCAGGCAATTCCAAAGTCTTATTTGTTTTAATAAAAATGTTTTCAAATTATTTTTTAAATATTGGTAAAGTGAAATTTTGTGGTTTGGGTTTCGATTTTATTTGTGATTAAACTAATTGTATATTTTATATGTAATGATTAATACTGTCGAAAATCTGAGTATCCACGATTTGGGTATTTTTCTACCTACATAGTTTCCACATATGAAATAATATAAAGTAATATTAGGATACGGTAGTGTTTTTAATATCTTTGAACTAATTGTATTTTGATTATGAAATTTTATACTAAATATAGTTAATGTTGATCGTGAAATATTAATAATAATGTTAGTTATTTATTCCCATTCATTGATAATAAAGTTTAATAATAATTTAACACATGTTACCTTGAAAAATATTTTGACATTTTTTGCTACTAATTATATATTGCCACTAGACTAAATTTTCTTAATTATGAAAATTTTGAAGGGTCCAATTTGTAATTAAAATTTTATAAAAATGAAAATTGTATATTCACGAAATAAAAGGAATCAAGAGTGAATTTAAGTATAGAAAAATAATCTAGAAATATAGTTTTTACATTTTAGATTATTCATTTCAAAAGAAAAATGGATGTTGCTTATTTTTTTATTCACAAGCAAAAATTTATCTAAAATTTTATGGATCTTATTATTTAACACAGTGGACTAATTCAACAACTCTCCCAAGTTTGCTATGGATCCCTTTATTAAAAAAAATTATAAAAAGAAGCTTTGTACTAAATCAATTCTAGAAAACACACACACACACACACACACACATATATATATATATATATATATATATATATATATATTATAAAATGAATAAAAATAATATAAAAAGGAGAGTTGAATTATATTTAGTTAATTTTTAATACATCTCTATAATATAGCTCAAATAATCTATTTTTAAGTTTAACATGGACATACGGATTTAAAGTTTAATTAGATAGTCATATGATGAAAGTTTGCATATGATAACTTTTTTACAAATTTCACTTACTAATCTGTAAATATAAAAAGGAAAATATATTTTTATATTGATATTGGTTTATATCTAGTTCTAAATTAATATGGGAAAATTTTATTATCAACCCACAAACACAAATATTTGTTGACATTATTCCTAATTTAAAACAGTTTTTTTTATTAGTTTCTCTAAGCTAATCACACATGTATTTTTTAATAAGATTTTATAAATTTTTATAATGGAGTATTCTTTTAAAAACAAATAATATAACTTAACACACATCGAAAGTACAATGTGAAGGTGAATGTTTGTTTGCAACACTAAAATTTTCTCCAATCTCAATAGACAAATACAAAGATAGACATGATAAGGTTAGATAAGTCTAAAATAATACAACAATACTTTAGAGTAAAGATATGAAAGAATAATTGTAAGTTTCCGAAAAAGAAAATTTTGTTAAAATAAACTCAACAACTTTATATTCTCTTCTAGTTACACTATTTTTAGAAAGAAAAAAAAAGAAGAAGTTGTTGTATAAAAAGCGACTTCATAAAAATAATTTATTTATTTTTAGTTTTCACTTGTTCTTCTTGTACTAAGAGTTAAGTCATGTACTGTAAATAGTAGAAAAAAATTGCCAAAATTTTAAATTTTAATTAATTTACTTTTTAACTATAATTCTTTATTTTGATGTTTTTCCAAATTTATTTGTGGAAAATTTTGTCTAAACAGACAGTTGAATCATTTACACATTCTCTATGCTTAATTATTACGAAGTGAGAGAGATGTGGGAGGTTAGAAGAGTTTTCTTGTTTTCTTCTTCCCACTTGAATCGAAGAGGACCCATTTTGAAGGCATTAGCTTGTGATGTATGATTCCTGTTCCAAATGCAGAACATTTTTGTCTGTCTGTATTTTCGCTATAATATTGTTATTATTTATGAAATATTTTTGTTGATAATCTTTATATATAAAGTTGGTTTCATTTTCTACATGCATGTTCTCGACTTGTCGTTTAGTGGGTGATGATGAGTGCACAATATTATCGTGTGTGCCCAAACTGGTGATTTTTTTTATTATTATTATTTATATCATTCAACAAATAATAAATTCACACAGTTCATTATTATTTAAGAGTAAAGGTTAAAGATAATTTATCATTATTACTAATGATAAGAAAATCATATTATATAAATTTATTAGCCGAGTAATAATATAATTCTCGGAAAATGACATTATTGGTTCTCTTTTTTCTCTCCTATAATCAATTCTACCAGAGATTCCAAGGTTGCTGCTAAGAAAATGTTCCAGCTTCAACTTCTTGCATGGTGAGTTTGTAAATTCAATCTAATTTTGAAATCCAAAAACTATTCCATCTAAGTTATAAGGATGAGATGATTTTGTAAATATATATAAGAAATAGAAGTTAGAAAGTTTATTGAAGTTTTATATTATAATTCGCAGAAACCCTTATTTGAGTTATTGGTGTAGGCATCTTATTCGTACTATTTCATGACACTTGATTTTTAAGGTTCAATAATAACATTGTACTAAGGTCTTCTTTTGTCAGAATCTTTCACAGAAATATTTTACAAAATAATAAAACTTCAATAAATTAATATATGGACTGATTTAGACTTTTTATTTCCATTTTTATTTTTCTTCTTAAAAATGTTAACATAAAATATTGTTCAAATATATGGGAAAACACGTTTCCCTAATTCAATATATTAATATTGTGGTTCAACATAATGTTATACACTATGTAGATTATTTATGTGGGAAAATGCATTGCACGAGCATCATGAATGAATGAAGGTGAAAATGTTATATATTGTCATTGCTTGTTTTGTTAAGAGCCCAAAGTCTCTCTCATCTCCTCTTTCATTTTCTGGTATTCTTACCTACACATTCTTCGTTTTTGCTCTAATTTTATTTTATTTAAGGTATTATTACTTTCAATTTTCCATTTTTCTTTATTTTCTTCTTTTTCCAATTATCACAAAATTCGATTTCTTCTGTTCGTCGTTTCATCTTCTTGGTTATTCTGCTGCTTTGAGGAAGATCGAGTACCAAAAACGTTTGCGAGTGAAGATCTCAGTGAAAAGAAAATATTAACCTGGGAAGAAAAGGGAAGAAAGAATGGGATGGAAGTGGATGGCGACGACGTTGTTTATGTTACTACAGTTTGCATCGTTTATGGTGTTTGTTTGGGGAGATAGAAGGTTTACGAAGGTCGAAAATACACAGAAATTCGAACGCAGTTTCTTCCACAAAGCCATCAATTTCTTATGGCAACTGGAGGAATCAGGTTATCAACACGTTTGGCCCGTAAGTTTTTCATCATTTTCTTCTTCTTATTCATCTCGTTTTCTCTCTTAAACTCTTAAAATTTTCTGTTTAGTTTCTCAAATTGTGTTTTATTCTAACATTGATTCCTGGAACGAATCTATAATTTCTAAGATCTTTTTCAAGGATGTATGCCATAATTTTCCAAGTACTGTAAGTATAATCTCAAGATAAACAATTAACTGATGTTTTAGGTTTTAATTCATTTTATTTAGGTTATTTTTTTCTCCTAAACAAATTACATCACTATCAAACCTCTTCCGTACTGTTTAAGGATTCAATATGGAGGGAATAAAATGGATTTCTAATGTTGGTATGGCTTCAACATCACATTTTTTGTCACATCATGTGATGTAAGAAACAAATTATTTTGTACAGTTTCTCATCTCTGCTTGACACGTGTATGAGAAGATACGCACGTAATCAAATCATGATATTTAATGGGATATTAAAAATTAGAACAGATTTCAAATATATGAAGTTTAACTTGTTTTAATTTCATTTTTTATTTTCTTTTAAATAAATTAATTTATAGTGTTTAATTTTCCAAATCGAGTACTTTTATTTTTATTATGTAAAAGCATCAATACTTAATAATTTAAATGAAATATTAAAGTTAAATACTATAATTAAATAAGTATAAAATAGTATTTAATAATTAAAATAAAGCAAATATTAGTATTTCGGATCGTGTTAATGAAAAAGAGAGAGCAAGAGTAAGAAAGGGAAGACATAAAGAATAAATAATAAAGAGAGGTAAGAGAAGAAGGAAACAAAATAAGAAGGGTGGGAAGAAAGTTTGTGACAATGACAATATATTATTTAAATTTTTTCATCTTCAGGACCTATATTTTAATGTATTTATTGGAAAGATGTTTTTTTCTTCAAATATATATATATATATATATATATATATATATATATATATATTTAATGATAAGGGAAAAAATCTCACGTTCTCTCTTTTTAAAAAAGAACAATTGTTTAATATTTATAATATTTACTTCTCCAAATTTTTTGATATATAAATTTAATAATTCATAATATAAATATGCGTATATATATAAAATTTTTAATCTACTTAATTTGATTTTATAAGTATTAAAATGAATAATTAAATAAGAAAAATTAGAAAAAATATATATTTTATTAAATTTTTACATTCTCTCTCGTTTATTTTCTACATTATATGTTATTTTCATCCTACAACGATTTATAATATCTGTCACTATACACATAGAGAAATCATACAATAATAAATCACACCTCTAATAATTTTAAATTCTTATTAGATTAATATATATATATATATATATGTATATATATATATATATATATATATATAAACATAGACCATGAAATAAATTTTGATTTTTTCTTAATATGATTTCGAAGACTTATTTAACACTTTTCTAACATGAAATTCAGGCTATCTCATATTATCACAATAATAAAATAAAATAAAATAAAAGCTCTTCTAAACAAAAATCTTAATTGGATAATACTCATTAGGGAATCACCAATTTTTATATTTAAAAATTTTATCAATATTTTTAAAAATTATTGACTAGAAAATAATGTTATTTTTTTTATATAAATGAATGTATGTGATATTGTTATTTTTTAAAATAGTAATAAAATTAGTGTTGGATAAAGATCCAAATATTGTTGCATTAGTCTTTTCAATATTTTTTATTGGATTAATCTTTGATAAGTAATATATGGATTAACAAATTTTAGATTAAAACTAATAAACTGATAACAAAATTAATGTGATAAATAGTAAATTTTAAAAAACAATACACATGTTTAGAATGAAAAAAAAAACGAAGGTTAATTTTGCAGGACATAGACTTAGGGTGGCGAATGATTTTGGGGACGATAATTGGATTTTTTGGAGCAGCGTTTGGAAGGGTTGGAGGCGTTGGGGGTGGCGGCATATTCGTTCCAATGCTCACCCTCGTGATCGGCTTTGATCCAAAATCCTCCACTGCTATGTCCAAATAAGTCTTCCACCACTTTTTTTTCTCCTTTAATGTATACTAATAATTTAAGGATCATAATTTTTATTAGACACTCAAAATAAAAATTAAATCCTATTGTAAAAGTTAATTTTCAAAATAAAGAAAACTATTTTTTAAACTATTATTATAAGTGAATTATCAAGTAATTATTTTTTTAAAACTATTTCCAAAATATATAAAGTCAATAAATGTTCGATGCTAGTTGTATGATATTAAAAAAACCTCAACGATAATATAAATATCTTATCATTACTTAATTATAAATAAAATGTTACATTTTTTACTACCTTAATTTTTATTTAGTTTAATTTTAATATATTAAAGGTCAAATTCTTTTACACTCATAATATATTAAAATTAAACTAAAATAAAAATTAAGTTCCACAAAAAAAGGGTTCTAAAATTATTTCTCCATTCTTATCACATCTCTCTATCTCCCTAATGTGTTGTGTAAACTATTCATAGAAAAGTGAGTGGGCCAGACCCGAAGCCCCACTCTGTACTTGTTAGCAAATTTAAAAAACAAAATTGCCAGCGTGAGTAGGCCCAACCATACTTGTGCAAGGGAATATATCTATATATATAATTTAGGTCTTAAAATACATATTTATTTATTAATATAGTTTATACGATAATAATAATAATAATAATAATAATAATAAAGGTTTTAAATTATTTGATAAATAATATTAATTTATAAAAAGTTAAATATTTTTTAAATTTCCTTTTTGTATCTTATAATTTCAACTTTATATCCTTAATGAAAATGTCACCTTAGTTTATTATTTATTTATTTATATAGATTAATAACTAATTCTTCTTTATTAAGAGTAATTAAAAAATCATAAGAAATATAATTTTCTTATTCATCTTAAATCTCAATTATTTAGTTTAATTCTAAAATCATTTTCTTATAACTTATATTATTATTTTTCTTCAAATCTAAACTACTTTTTGCATATTTATTAATTCAAATTTAGTTATGCATGTTTTTATATGTTTAGTTTATTAAATTGTACTTGAAAACATATTGTTGTATTATTGCATATGTTTGCTCATTGTCAAAAAATATTACAATAATCCCTATATTTTTTTCTTTATCAATTTTCTTTCTTCAATAACATAACTTATCATATTTATCATTTTTTTCTTCTATTTTTTCCTTTTATATTCTGTCTTCTCTTTCTTTTCCTCCATCCACTCGAATTATCTTGGACTCATTATGAACAATTCTTTAAGAAATCAAAAATAGATTTCTTCACACTCCTTTAGGTGCACCTTGGGTGGAAAGAGAGATTTAAAGAGAAGTAATAAGTTTGATGTGATAAGAGAGAGAGATAAAGGAGTGTAAAAATTGTAGTGTGAGAAATAGTGGTATGGCATTAATGAACTTGAAAAAAAAAAATTGTAACTTCGATGGAACCCGATTATTACCGTTGAATCATGAGGTGTTCTGTTGGTTACAGGTATGATCATGGGTGCAGCTTTGTCAACTGTTTACTATAATCTTAATCTAAGGCACCCCACTTTGGATCTGCCCATCATCGACTATGATTTGGCACTGCTCATTCAACCAATGCTCATGCTTGGCATTAGCATTGGTGTGGTCTTCAATGTTGTAGTTGCTGATTGGATGGTCACCATGTTGCTTCTTGTTCTCTTTTTAGGTAATGCTTTTGCTTAACTACGACTTCGTGTAGTCTGTTTTTACTTTTGACTCATCTTGCTGGTTTGCAGGTACATCCGCAAAGGCATTCTTTAAGGGTGTTGAAACATGGAAAAAGGAAACCATAATGAAAGAGGTAGCATTACATTGATCAACCTATACTAGGTTTCACTACTTGTAAATCAAGGAACTCGTTAAGTTTAACAATAAAGTCATGTTACAGTTGAACGATAAAATATGCTAATAAATTTTATTACTTATTTTCTGATTCTCTCTTGTTTCTTTTTAGGAAGATGCTAGGAAACAAGAGTCCAATGGTGAGTTAAGAAAGTAGTCATAATAAATTTGTTATGGATCATTTCCTTTTTGTAATCAGAGTGTTTACAATTCTCTCGGTGATAGGTCTTGGGACTGAAGTGGAATACAGAGCAATTCCTAGTGGACCAGAAAATGGCATTGCAGAAGGAACCAGAAAAGAAGAGGTAAATAGGGTTTAGTTTGTAGTTTGTGATTGGGGTTAGGTTTTCATATCTGACTGAACATGTCTCTGGAGTATTGCAGGTGTCTATGCTTGAAAATGTGTACTGGAAGGAGTTTGGACTTCTGGCTTTTGTTTGGATGGCATTCCTTGCAATACAGATTGCCATGGTTTGTTGTTTTTAGTTGATATTTTGTAGCATAGATCAGTCTATTCTGTACCATTGAATCTTTCTAATCTGACTCCTAAACTTTTCTATTGACAATGTCAACAGAACCAAACAACCAAATGTTCAATGATATATTGGGTACTGAACATGTTGCAGGTAAAGTTCTAATCAGAAAAGACATCACATCTCATGTCTTTCTGCTTTCTCCTGAATTTATTGTGTTTTTAACATATAAGAATTAAAAATATTTTTTTAAGAACAAAAAAGTTATTCTTAATTTACGAAAGGAATAAAGGATCTTTTTATTATGGGGTCATTTGATAATTAAAACAACTCCATTGAATCAATTATTTAACTAGTAGGCATGTTACAATCAAGGAAAAAAATTGAGTTAAATTATTTGCAGACAAGGTTAAAATTATTTTCATAATAGATTTTCTTTACAATCTTATTAAAATAGTAGCCGTTCCAAAAAAACATATTTTCTTTTAAATTTTATTGAAAAAAAAATATTATAACTCCTTTTAAAAAAAAAAATTCTGACCCTTTAAATTAACTTTCTGATATGGCTATATTTTAAGTTATTTTATAATACTTCCACAATTATTTATGTTATAAAATACATTTAAATAATTTGTAAATAAAATCTTTCAAACATACCTGTGCTTTTTCTACCAAAAAAATGTTTAAATTTTTTCATATTCCATCTTTGACAATAATTATATTAATTATAAAATTACTACCAACATTTTATTCATTCAAATTTAATTACAGTTTTCAAATTTAAATTTGGTGGATTAAACAAATAATTGAGAGAAAAAAATTGATTGAATTCTGATACTAATCATAAATAAAACTAACGTAAACTTAGCATCAACATGATAACTTGTTTTGCATATTTTTTTAGACATTTAATGGATTATTTTAAACTATTTGTTTCTACTATATATCTAAATATAAGCTTATTAAAATAGTTAAATATAACAATAGTTTAGCGTGTACTATAAGTTTATTAACTTTTATAATAATTATATTAAAAGTCCCAAATTCATTGACTTTTATTTGATTTAATTTGCATCGAAATAACCTTTAAACTTTTTTAAAATAGTTTTCATAGCTAATTGGAAGACTCAAATGTTAATAATAATGCTTATATGTTCTGAAAATATATTGAAATATCTGTCATAACTTGTACAGATTCCATATTATAGAACTGTTTAAACCATGCATTTTCCTTGCCATGTCGTGCAGATTCCAATTTCTCTTGGGGTAGCTGGATATGAGGCAGTTTCCTTGTACAAAGGAAGGAGAGCAATTTCTTCAGTGGGAGATCATGGAAAAAGTTTTACTATTCTGCAGCTAACTCTATACTGTTCTTTTGGAGTATCTGCTGGCATAGTTGGTGGCTTGCTGGGAATAGGTGGAGCATTTGTCATGGGGCCACTCTTTTTGGAGCTGGGAGTCCCACCTCAGGTGAGTTTCAAATTGTACTGTTACAAATTTTGAAACAACAAGGTGCACCACATAGATAGAAAGCAAGGAGATAGCTAGGTTCAAGAGGATGGAACACTAAAAAGGGTACTATGGTTATCCTTCATGAGTGCATGCATATGATTGAGGAATGTTTGGGGAAACAATGCCTGTTGCTTTTTGTTAAGCCAAGAAAGATAACAGGTGGAGTCAGTACAGCAATGAAAAAGTAGTTTAGAATGATTGAGAAAATGATACTTTGTACATGGTGTGCTGATCTCAAGATAAAGAAGATAGTTATTCATTGATGTCAAATGGATTTACATAGGACCAAACAAAATGTTGGAATGACAAACCTTAGCTTCATGTGTTACATTTATGGCGGTGGTGAGACAAGATTGTGGTGGAATTTTCAAGTATGCAACATAAAAGCTTTCAAAAGTATTGACACGCAGTGACGCATAGTGAAAAGGAGAAAGATGAAGGAGTTGAAAAGGTTGATGAAAGTAAGTAGAAGGGCTTGATGAATATTTTCTAGGACTAAAAATATGATATTCTTATCAATGGGACACCAATTAATTATATATATCATATTTCGACCAAATTTATATTGTAAGATTTTAACTAGATTCCTAACATGTTACTTATGTGTCATTCTGACACTAGATCTATAATGCTGATATGTTAATAAAGACTTCACCAAAAGCAAGATTTGAAATGTTGAGAGACAAATGTGGTCTTTGCAGAAAATGAGGTCTAAAGAAGACTTGTTGAAAAATGCCTTGGTTCTTCAATTTGGATTCTCCTGAATAATTAGCCAAGAGACCAAGTCTTTGAAGAGACATATTGAGTTATTCTCAGTTTTATGTCTAAGGCAACAACTTCAGAGAGTTTTGTTTTTTCTATTTCAATAATGTATCAACTTTATAAAGAGAAACAATTTGCTTGTTGTCATTATGCTTATAAACTTTATTGTTATATTTATCTGCCTTGATCCGTGCATACAACAGCAATCTCTCTCTTTGATAGAATAAGATAAATTTATGAAGCCATCTGAATGAGTTTCACTTCTTCTATGAACTGGCTCCAATGTTGATGCCATGTGTTCAGGTTGCAAGTGCCACAGCCACCTTTGCCATGGTCTTTTCATCATCTATGTCTGTTGTAGAATACTACCTGCTGAAACGTTTTCCAGTTCCTTATGGTTTGTGTCTCATAACTTTTACATCTATATCTATCTATAACTTTCATCTATGTGCCTTCCATAAATTGTTTAATTTATTGCTCTAACCCATGCATTATGTGGATTGTTGCACAGCTCTATACCTTATTGTAGTGGCTGCAATTTCAGCCATTGGAGGTCAGCATATTGTGAGAAAGTTGATTGATCCACTACTACAAAAAACACTTACTACGACAGCATCCAACGTCGGTTTTTATGAAGACCGACGTTGTACAAGACGCGGTGACAAACTTGTAATTAAGAAACAATATTTAACGTCGGTTATAAAAAATCCGACGTAGTAACGGACAAATAACGTCGGTTAGATGACAGACGACGTTAAATGTTTAAATTTAACGTCGGTTATGTATAACCGACGTTGAAATCCCAAAATCAACGTCGGTTCCATGATTTACCCGACGTCGAAAGCATTATCCACGTCGGGTTTTTTAATAACCGACGTTGAATGTCCTATGATACCTAGACTCTAAGGCGCGAAGTTGTTCTTCTGCTTCTTCTTCGTGCCCACATACCTCCCTCCTTCTGCTTCTTCTTCGTGCCCACATACCTCCCTCCTTCAGTCCTCACTGCCGTGCACTGCTACCTCAGTTCGTTGTGGTCTGCTGCCTCAGTCCTCACTGTCGTGCTCTACCCCCTCGCCGCCCCTTCACTGCCCACTTGCCGCGCTCTTACGCGGCGTACCCCCGTTGTTGCTGTGTGTGTGGTAGCCCTCGTTTCCCTAAGGAAACCCCTTCTCATCAGGTTAGATTAAGTTGTATGGATGATTTACAGCATGCATTTAACATAAATATGGATTATTTAGAGCATTTCCTGCGTATGAACATTAGAAAGATGATGAATGATTTTGTATGGTTTGATTTGATATAGGTTCGTTTAGGCTTTTGGAAGTTTGTTTTCGGTTTCGAAGCGGTATATACTCTTTCATGTAGATGTACACGTTTTATTTTCCCAATCTTGATGTGGGAAATGAGATGTACACGTTTTTTTTGTATTGTTTTGCTAAACCTTTTCTAATAAACCTTGAATATCTAGGCAAGCCTTTTTGTGTAGTTAGATGGATCGAACTTGGGTCAATGCAAGTCGCATGTCGAGAAGAGTATGAGAATGGAGTTGACTCCTTTTTGAAATTCTGTAGAACAAAATGCTCCCAAAATGAATGGAAAAATCTATTGCCCATGCGTTAATTGTGTAAATGGCAGAGTACAAGAGATGGACACAACGCGGGAACATCTTATTTGCGATGGGATGATGAAGAATTACACCATATGGACATGGCACGGTGAAGTGGTTGATATTCCAACGGTATCACAAACTATTGAGGATGATGTAACCTGCGAAGATCGAATAGAGGACATGCTTTGTGATGTGGGTCAAGAGAGCTTTCTTGAAGCACATGCATCTATATATGATACATTGAGGACCGATTCAGAGACACCTTTGTATCCGGATGTACAACTTTCACACGGTTGTCATACGTGTTAAGATTGGTCAATCTAAAAGCAAAATTTGGTTGGAGTGATACAAGTTTTAATGAATTACTCCAACTTTTGAAGGAGATGCTCCCGAGACAATAACACCTTGTCGGACCAGTATGTATGAAGCGAAGAAGATACTATGTCCGATGGGTTTAGAATATAGGAAGATACATGCTTGCCCTAATGATTGTGTGTTATACGGGAAAGAATTCTCATCTTTAGACCAATGTCCAACATGTGGTGTATCACGTTACAAAGCGAAGGATGGTGATGATTGTAGTCGGGAGAGTGGTAAAAAACGTCCTCCTGCAAAAGTTTTATGGTATCTTCCAATAATTCCAAGATTTAGGCGGTTGTACGCTCACGAAGATGTTGAAAATTTAATTTGGCATTCAAAGAGAAAAACATGTGATGGGCAAATGCGACATCCATCGACTCTCCCCAATGGAAGAATTTTGGCCGTCTATTTCCAAGTTTTGGTAGTGATGCAAGAAACCTTAGACTTGGATTAGCAACGAGATGGGATGAATCCTTTTGGAAATTTAAGTAGTAACCATAGTTCATGGCCCGTTTTATTGATGATTTACAATCTTCCACCATGGTTATGCATGAAGCGCAAATATGTCATGTTGTGTATGATGATTTCGGGTCCAAGACAGCCAGGAAATGACATAGATGTGTATTTGAGTCCTTTGATAGAAGACTTAACACTATTATGGGAGGAAGGAGTAGATGCATTTGATGGGTATCGGCGACGAAGTTCAAGTTGCATGCAATGTTATTTTGTACCATTAATGACTTCCCTGCCTATGGAAACTTGAGTGGGTATAGTGTGAAGGGGCATTATGCTTGTCCTATTTGTGAAGAAGAGACCAGTTATATACAATTGAAACATGGAAAGAAGACAGGTTTATAACGAGGCACGAGAAAATTTCTCCCGCATGACCATCCATACCGTAGGCTGAAGAAAGCTTTTAATGGCATACAGGAGGATGAAATTGCCGAGAGAACCATTGGCTGGTTTAGAAGTTTACGATCGAGTGAAGAACATAAGCATTACATTTGGAAAGACCCAAAAAGGTCTTCGACAAGAACATGTGGAAGAAGAGATCAATTTTCTTTGATCTTCCATATTGGAGCCATTTAGAAGTACGACATTGTATTGATGTTATGCATGTGGAGAAGAATGTATGTGATAGTCTCATTGGCACATTGTTAAACATTCAAGGAAAGTCAAAGGATGGGATCAAAGCACGTCAAGACCTTTGTGAGATGGGAATACGTCATGAATTACATCCAAGGCACTGAAGGCAATAGAACATATCTACCACCGGCATGTCACACCTTGTCAAAGAAGGAGAAACGTAGTTTATGTCATTGTCTTGCAAGTATTAAAGTGCCACAAGGATACTCTTCAAATATTAAGAGTCTTGTATCCATGAAAGATCTGAAGTTAATTGGATTAAAGTCCCATGATTGTCACGTTTTGATGCAACGGTTGTTACCAGTGGCTATACGTAACATATTGCCTAAGAATGTTAGACATGCCATTATGCGACTATGTTTTTCTTCAATTCTATTTGTGCCAAGGTTATCGATGAAAAATCACTAGATGAGTTGGAAAATGAGGCTACGGTTGTGCTATGTCAATTGGAGATGTATTTTCCTCCATCATTCTTTGATATAATGATTCACTTAATAGTTCATGTTGTGAGGGAGATACGAATTTGTGGGCCGGTTTATTTGAGGTGGATGTACCCAATTGAGCGATACATGAAGATCTTCAAAGGGTATTCTAAAAATCCATACGGACACGAAGCTTCAATTGTTGAGCGGTATATTGCGAAGAAGCCATAGAATTTTGTTCGGATTACTTGGCAAGAGTCGTACTGTGGGTGTACCTAGAAATCGTCATGATGATAGGCTAAATGGTAAGGGAACTCGTGGTATTAGAATTCAAACAAAAGATCATGTAGAGTTGACCACCGCCCACTTGTATATTTTGAACAATACAGAAGAGGTTATTCCTTACATAGATGCGCATAAAGCAATGTTAAAGGACCTAAACCCCAAAATGGGTGAAAGGTGGTTGATGAAAGAGCATAACAACAACTTTATCAATTGGTTTCAAAGCAAAATATTTTCAAGTGACAATGCCTACGATACATTGAAATGGCTAGCACATGGGCCTAGATATAATGTTATAACTTGGCAAGGGTATGACATTAACAAATACTCATTCTATACGAAGGCACAAGATGACAAAAGTACAGTCCAGAATAGTGGAGTATCTATTGAGGCAACATCTATGCACTTTTCTAGTGCAAAGGACAAAAACCCCATCATGGCATCAATTAGTTACTTTGGAGTCATTGAGGAGATTTGGGAGGTCGACTATACTAAATTCAAAGTGCCTTTATTTAAATGTAAATGGGTTGATAGCAATACTTGGTGTCCAAAGAGACCAAATGGGATTTACTTTGATTGATATAAACAAGATTGGTCATAAGGAAGAACCCTTCATAATGGCATACCAGGCAAAACAAGTGTTTTATGTCAGCTGATCCATCAAATGATAGGTGGTCAGTTGTCCTCAAAGGAAAAATGATTGATGTCACAAATGAGAATGGAGAAGAATTAGATGATTTTATTAACATTCAAAATTCACCACGGTTGCCTATTGCTATATCCCAATTGGAAGAGGACTTTGTTCATGCTACTCGCAATGACCATGATGAAGGCATATGGGAAAATATTAATACAATCTAAGTTATGTTTCTATTTGTTTATTTTTTTAACATGTAATTGAGGAGACTTTGCATGTGTATTGATATAATTCTATGTTTTTTTCATTACAGGTAAATGGCATGTCCTTCACCATCTCCTCCACCATCTCCACCACCATCTCCTCGGGCATACGGAAAGACATTTTCCGGTAAGAGGAGTCGACAATCTACACGGTTGAAAGGCTTGACCGTTAGACACATATCCGGCCAGAAGTTATACGTGTACTGTTGATCCTAGGGCTGGCAAGGTGTCGGGTCCCTTTAGTACCCAATTTAGTAGCTACTTGGGTACACTAGCTAGAGAGAAGGTATTTATTCTATTTCAAAGTTAATTTCATTTCAAATATATTGTTGATACTTATGTTGTTTATGTTGTGTAGATATCTATTCTCCATCCTACTTGGGATCATGTGGAGGAAGCTGTGAAGAACTTGTTATGGCAAGATCTTCTTGTAAGTATGTGTATTTAGTTGTTTATACATTATTATCAATTGGTTAACTAAAACTTGTTTGCTACTTGTAGGAACACTTTGATATAGTCAATTACGAGGATGTGAGGAGGAAGATAATGACAACCATAGCAAAAATGTGGAGACAGTTCAAGTCCACATTGACCACTAAATGGGTGTATGCTTGAGGACAAAGTTAGGAAGGGATTAACCCCTTGCCAAAGATATGGCATAGATGAGGACACTTGGAAGAAGTTTGTACATAGTAGGATCTGGTTCGAGTGGGAGGTAATGTTAATTGCTTAATTGACTTGAACATTTTATAATGAGTTGTGTATCTAATATTGTGTTCAATTATGTTGCGGGAAAGAAGACAAAAAGCAAAAGACATTCGGAGCAAGAATGTCGCCCCCACCTTCTGTCTCGTGGTGGGTACGACCTATTGACAAAGAAGATGATGGAGGAGAAGATGAGACTTCGACGGTCGGAGTTAGCCTCTTCGGTTTAAGCGAAGAGCAGATTCCTCCACCATCTCCTCCAAAACGTCACCGGAAGTGGAAGAGGGCTCGTACAAAGCCTTCGGTGACATGACATCGCAGGAAGCCTAGAAATTGCTTGCTCGGATTGTAAGTAAAAGAAGTTAATTTACTTTGAATTAGTTATATGTAACTTGTTCATTAATAAAATTAACTTTTATAATGTAGGATGCCTTGGAGGAGCGGTGTACACGGGGAACTTTCATCCCTTACAGTCGTCGGGATATCTTGACCACTTGCTATTGGACGACCAGAACATCCAGGTCGTGTTCGAGCTGTTGGCCAAGGTGTGGGTGTCAGACGGTATTTTGGACCACCATCACGGGATATCCGCACCTCCACATCCACGAGCCAAGAAGATATTGCTGCCTTGGAGATGGCTCTCACGGAGAAATTGACACCGGCCATCGGGGCAAAATTGGAGGAAGAGTTGACTCCTGCCATCGGCGCACGACTTGAGGAGACCATCACTGCACGTGTGCGGGAGCGGTTCTGCGTATGACCTCCATGGGTACTTCATTTGCTTGATGCTCATCCTCCATCGAGTGCATTTTCAACCACAAATTGGTACTTGACTTATGTTTCTAAAATCTTAGTCCTTATTGGAATTTACTTGTATTTGTAGGTCCAAGAGTTAGCACAAAGGGCGGTTGTCTTGAAGCCACTATCGAGGTCACACACGAGGTGGCATCTATTCATCCTGAATCCACAAAGGATGATCGATATGGCTTGTGGGTTGAGGTAGATGAAGGTCTAAGGCTAGTGGCCCATGGATCAGTTCATGAAGGGGCTTCAACCATCCACAATGTGCCTTTGGATCCTAACTTGGTCAAAGTAGTGGTTGAAAAGGTGGTTGACGCTGCGGCTAGTGTCCCTATCCCCACTGAAGAGGTGCGAGACGGTGGGCCAAGCCCTTCAGACCTTCATTACTTGGCCCAGACATTTAGTTAGGTCAATAATGGCAAAGGTATGTATATGTATGGTTATAATACATCTAACACATAAATAAATTGATTTATTGTTTATGATTATATTTTATAAAATATGTAGGATGTTCGGCGGCCAAAAGACTTGGGTAAAGCTATTGCCACTCCTTACGCATCTAAGGAGAAGACACCGGTTGTGGAGACTTCTCCAAATCCAATTTTGATCTCTTGTCTCTTTCCCCACAATTGTATCTGCAGTCATTCCAAGTTCCATGGGATTGTACATTATTTGGGATGGCTTCTAGCAATATCCCCTATACATTTCCCACACTTGATGCCCTGGAGATTGGGATGGGCAATCAATGTCTAAATATAGTTGTTTTACAATTTTGGACATTGTAAGTTCATATCTTTCATGACTCTTTTCATTTTAGTAAATATATAAGCTATAAGTTCACTTAAATTGGCATATTTTAGGATGATGCACGAAATGATAGTGGAGCGGGGCATTGGTCATGTGTATGGATTCTTCGAGCCTCAATCCATACAAAAGTGCAGGAATAAGCGTGATCAAATTCTCGGTTACATGCGGAATTGGATCAACTGATTCTAAAAGAGATATTTACCTTGGAGCATACCATCATTCGTAAGTTATCCCAGCCTCTTACGGTTTTACACAAGTTTTTTAATAGATTCTAATCATGTGTATATACGAAACCAGCTGCGACTATTAGTTATTTGTCCAAAGCGAGAATCTTGTGTGTTGGTTACTGCTCATTGGGAAGGAAACTGACATGGAGCTAAAAAATATTGTAAACGAGTAAGTATTTCTTATATTATGTCTAAACATCTTGATTATTCTATTTCTAACCCCCTTCTTTTCAATATATAGTGCTCTAAAGGTTTGTAGTACATTAGGTGGAAAACACACAAGTAAAAGCACGACTCCAAATTGGAATTTTATCAAAGTAAGTAGCCTTTATATATATTATACTATCTATTAATTTATGTTCAAATTTAATAGTTATTTTTAACATATTTAGTCATTTTTAGTGTAACAAACAAAATGGAGGATACGAGTGCGGCTACTATGTAATGTATTGGATGTGGCTCATCATTTTTGGTAGCATTCGGGATAGTTGGAATGAGGTAAGTTGACATTTGCTATTATATTCAATTCCTTTATTTTTATTGCTTAGGGTTTACCATTCTATTATTGTGAACTTCTTACGGGCATTTAAAGATATAGAACCTTTGCCTATGGATACTATAGACATGGTTAGAAACAAATGGGCAGAAAAGTTTGTACAAGTAGTTAGGAATAGGATTGATTGATAATTTTTTGTGTATTTTGTACATAATTTGGCTGATTTTGACATATATATCTATCATTTTATATATTAGTGATTAGCTGAAATAAATATACTTGTCTGGACTGAGATTATAGCAGTGTCGTGTGTTGGTGGCACTAAAACAGACCAACATTTAAAAAAAAAAAGGGATATTCTACGTCGGTTATTGCATTAGCAGAGCGTTGTAACGTCGGTCGCTTGAGCGATACGAGAGGTCGCTTGAGCGATACTAGAACCCGAGAGTCCCCTTTGTTTGAAGGCTTCGTCGCTCAGCGAGTACACGGTCGCTTGAGCGAGAAAGGACTTTCAACGTCGGTTAGTTCAATAGCAGACGTAGAATTTACTAATTTCTACGACGGACATTTGGTTACCCGACGTAGATATATATCACTTTCAACGTCGGGTATTCTGAACCGACGTAGAATCCTTTGACATTCAACGACGCCTGAATCAACGACATCATTAGAACCGACATTGAATGCCTTGTATAACCGACGTTGAATGATCATTCTGTAGTAGTGATATACTTGGGAGAGCTTCTCTTATCATATTTGTTCTAGCCTTCACAATATTTGTTAGTGCTGTTTCACTAGGTAAGCCCCATCATTTTCTCTTAATTTGGTTTGGTTATTATGGTCAGATTTTCTCTTAAACTAAACTTATATTTAATGAAATATATACTTATAAAACTCTTATGATGAACTTCAGTCATAAAACATTTTTGGTTTATTTGTCAGGTGGAGTTGGCATTGTAGCAATGGTGAAAAAGATTGAAAATGACGAGTATATGGGATTTGATGATCTCTGCAAGTATAGTTCATAACCCATTTCATTAAATTATTTTGTGGTTCTTCTTTTATCTCGAGTTCCCCCAACAACATAGGTCGTCAAAATTGACTCATGGTATGTTTGGATAAGTTTGAATTCTGCTTATTTGTCTCTTGTTGAGTGGAAAAACAAGTGAGTATAGGATATTACTCCAAACACTTAATTATACTATGTTCCAGGGTTCCTCTTTTTAAGAATTATCAAAGTGGTGATGATATGAATTGCATTTTTAATATTATTTTATGCTCCAGCTTTTTTACAAGCTACCATTTTATTATATTAACTTTGTGTTTTATGAAATTGGTATTACCAATTTATTTAATAAAGCATAAAAACTAATACAAATTTATCTATATAGAGAATAACTGATTAATGTAGAAATCAACAATTTCACAAATGAAACCAGAATTGCGACCAAGACCATATAACTTTTTTATATTAGTTTTGATTCAAACATGAAATAATAAGATACTCGTGAGTTTTTTTAAGGTTAGCCGTAATACCAAGACTATGACATGTAGTAGTAATGTTCTTATGAGAAGATTTAAAATATTTGTAAATTAGAAAATTCACATTAATACTTAAAAAATCCAATTAGCAATTATTAATGACAAAAATAATTATCTTAATTTCATTAATATTTCTTATATTTTTAGGTTTATTTTGATATATAGTGGATCATTATACAGTAAACATCTCAATTATGTTGATAACTTCGCGCACATCAATTATATATATATATATATATCAAATGAGTAAAGTTTTTCAAAACTAATAATGAACCTATATAATATAATAATAATGATTAAGAGTGAAAGATTGAAAGAAGAATTGTAATTTTCAATTTCTTATAACTATTTTGCTACAGTTTTTATTAAATATGGTGTATAATTTAGATAATTTAATAACGATACATAAATTTCATTATATAATAAGAATATATTTCAAATCAAAATTTAACTTATAACATTAAATTATGAGTTTAAATTTTAAATCCTTAATTAAGTCTCAACCGAAATATCATCATCGGTTATTCATCACATACATTATTATTTGTTTTTTAAAATAAGAAAATTCCAGCAAGATTAAAAAAGGGACAAACACATAAAATATTGAGAAGTACCCATATTGCCACAAAATAAAAAAATAAAAAAATAAGAAAAGATAATTGCAATGAAAAAAAGTACCACGTAAAGGAAAAAAGGAAAAGAATTCAATAAGAATTATTGAACATGGTATCCTCTTCTTGAACCATTCTGTTATTAATCACTATATATAATTGCTCCCTACTTCAAAATTAACAATTTAATCTTAAAAAATAGTTTTAATTATTTAATAAATGAATATAACAAGTAAATTAATTAGGGGTAATAGCTTAAGCCCCTATAGAATTTAAATAAAATGTTATTTGTAGGCTTCTGCTGCTCAGAATGCATACCGATAGATGGCATCTGCTACACCATCTTCATCATTGCTTAAACCAATCACGTTAGCCACTGCTTTGGTCTTCTCCGATCCATTACTAAGTGCAATGCCTAGAGAAGCCAGCTCAAGCATCTCCATATCATTTTCCCCATCACCAATAGCCATTATCTAAAGACATTAAAGACATAGCCATTAAAGAAAATTGGGACAAATATAAAGACATTCAATACGCCCAAAAAATTGTATGACTGACTCCTCAAATTATCAGTATGTTTTGTACCCTCAACTCGATCGATATTTATAAAATTCATCAAAAGATGTGTGCGTCAAACAGATTAAACAATAAAATTAGATCGGGAAAAATGTTATGCAATGTCATTCAACTGCTATATTATTTTAACTTGAATATTGCCATCCCCTCCATTCCATATATGTGAGTGAATAATGTTATTATCAGAGTCTGGTAGAGATAATGCAATCAATGTGAAAGGAGAACTGATATTTGTGATACCTCCTTAGCAGTAACCCCCAAATGATCTAGCAGCACTTTAACCCCATTCCCTTTTGATGTTCCCAAGGGTACGATTTCCAGCATGTCAGGCACAGCTTGAACAACAGTGGCACGACCTTTTGTTGCGTCTGACCAGTATGGCCGCAAGGTGCCAGCCACCTTCTCGGTGGTGTCTAAGAAAATCATTTTCTGTAGAATCAAATGTAAATGTCAGCAATATCTACATGTGAAAAGTGAACGACAAGCAGCAACAACAACCAAGCCATTTCTTACTACATGGGGCTGGCTACAAGGATCAAATGATACCATATTATTCTATTATAAATCTTGTCTACGGATAAACTATTCCTAAATGGTTTTGCTTATACTTTTTCCTAGTCTCCACCTCTAGTGAGTGAATATAAAGAAAACTTTCCCTCTACTGTAGCAACGCAGTTAAGAACCTATTCATATTTATCATTATGTTTGTCTGTCATTTATGGCTAGTGTCATGCAATCATAAAAGTAGATTTAGATTTAGTTAAGCTCGTAAGCAATTTTAGATGAGGGCAGGGTGCAGAAACACAAAATCATGCAATACATACTTTAGACGATAAACTATATAAGCACCTTCTAAGGGGAAAAAATGTCTACGTTTAATGTCGAACTACAAATTTCAAGCCATTCCTCCTTTGCTGGCTTGAGAGACCTCTAGTGTGCAGTGAATATTAGCTGCCTAGGTGAATTGTTAAGATGCTATCATTCAGCATCCATTACAACAGTAATCAGAAGATGAAACAAGAGAGCGAGGGTTTGTCCTAGTATATACCTGTATGTCAGCAGAAGCCAATAGATGCTCAACAGAAGGCATGACCTCTGCCTGTGAAGTATTTCTGGGTAAGACACAATGGCAAAATGGAATGCAATAAAGCCTATACAATTCAAAAAACGAGGTACCTTTGGTTCATGGTATATTGTATGCAGTGAATCAACAAGCGGATCATGAAATAGGGTTAAGCAGCGTCCTTCACAAAATGCAATAAGTGGTACCTTACTCTCCAACGAGTAAATACATGCCTGAATGTTAAAGAAACACAATTTCTTTCATACAATTACAAAAATGAAAGTCCTACATAAATAATCAGATATTTAGATTTCAAAGTTGGAATCCTCAATCTTTTTGTAATGTAGAAAACTGGCATAAGAGAGTAATTCCAGAGACACCTGAAAGTGCGGTGGATCAACTACGTGTTCTTTTTCTCATTTGAGTAAAAAGAAGAAAAAAAGAGAAACTTGAAAATTTATAGTCTGAGAAATATAAGCTGGTCATTGAATTACATAAGCAGGAAATGTTACCTCTCTACAGACATTTGGATCTAAGTTGCTCCTAAATATTTCCCGACCTTGTCTACCATAAACAAGCAATCCCTGGAATCATGTGGAATAAATATAAGGCACAGGAAAATAAAAGAAACTACGAAACAGGAAAGTTGTATACAAAACTATAGTCCGATGCTTCATGGTGTTGATTATTCAACTAAATAATCCAGAGGTAAATTCATCAATTTATTATTTATCAATTTAGGTCATGTACCTTTTGAATTTCTATTGTGCTTTAAAATCACTTGTGACAGTTTTGGTAAACCAAATGAGCTTCCATCAAAGAAGCAGTATATGGTTTAGTAGGAACAACACCTTTGTGGTTAAACATTCACGCATAAAAGAGTTTGCCTGTAATTGACCCCCACGTTCTATAATTAAAACATTAAACTGCCAGATGTACAATAAATATTGTTAATCTGGTTGTTCTGATGACCACCGTGTTCTGTAATTAAATAGTTAGCATTGCTATGTTTTGCCCTACTGAATATCCTTTCATTGCAACTGAAAGGAAGTTGATCTCATTCAGTGTATCTGGAATGCTAAAAAAGGATATTATTTGGTTTATATATAAAATCTTTCGTTAAGAATATTAGCAAGCAAAAAAATATTTGACTTTTCAAATTTGCATTAAAATGGTTTAGTTTTAGAAATCTTGTGTATATGGTGAGATTTGTTACAGTTAAATTTTAATTGTAAATAAACAGATTACTTTTTGTAAAATATGGTGAGATTTGCCACCCATAATGCAGGGGCAAATGTTAGCACCATGTTTAGTGCTCAATCCCATATAGCAGCAAAGTGGCCCTGAAAGTTCTATAGTGGCATAGCAGATAACAGGATGGCTGCTATTTTATCCAATACTAAGAAGAGAGCAGTGAGATGGAAAGACCTGTTTCAGAGAGATTGAGAAATAGAACAGAATACAGGGACAGAACCGGGAGCAAGGCCGCAAAGCCACGGTGACTGGACAGAGTGACATGACATGTTCGCAAAAATATGGTCACATAGATCAGGGATGACCATAAACTATAGAAAAGAGGAAAATGTATGGCCAATAAGCTCCAAATTTGCAGAAGCTAACTTTGATGGTCAAGCTTACTATTTTGTTATAGGAAAAAGCTTATTAACACTTTAAATCCATTTAAAAAAGAGAAAAAGCTTGACCACAAAAGTTTGCATGATCTGGTCAGTGTCAAATATAATCAACAGCTCAAATAAAGACAATCTTAGAAAATTGATCCAATTGCCGTCAAATAACATTGATGAGTGTGACAAGTGGTTAAAAGGACAGATGGACCATGATAATATTAATGAATACTTTAGGAATGAGCTAGTTTCTGATATTGATAGCACACTGAATTGAGCTTCTGTTTGAGGCTTCCGGGGTTGGAGAGCTGCAACCTATACTAGGTGGAAGATGAGAAAAATGAAAGAGTCATTAAGTGGTGCAACTTTAACTTTAAAAGGAAAAGATTAAGTAGTTGAAGATGGACAAATAGGGAGATCAGTACATTACACACAATTATCTTGGAAAATTCAATTCACCTCTAATACCTTTTTCCAAAATTATTGTTGGTCTATTTTAATGATATTTGTTTACAGTAAATTTTGATGGAGAATATTGTGTTACATGTATGATAAATCTTGTACATAAATAACCGTATAAATGTGTAAGACAAGGGTTTATAACTAAACAATACTTTCAGCTACGACAGCCTTGCTAAATCAAGAAGACTCATGAACATTAAAAAATTAGAGAAAATTAATTACCTGTAAGAAAACCCCAGGAGAAAATTCTGAAACAATGCCATCTTTTCCAGCTAAATCAACCATTTTAAAGATGTCTAACACAGCTGGACGAGCCTAATTTGCAAATTTCAACAGTAATGATCAAAACACATTTTCAATAAGAAAATATGCCAAGCTACATAGAGTGTTAAAAACCAAGCATTATATGTATTTTCCAATATAGAATAAACAATCTATATTAACATGCTACCCCAAAAAATCATGGATATATTAGTCTTACTTTTCCAGTAGCTATCACAATTTTCACACCTCTTGATGATGCCTCTCTCAAAGCATTGACAGTTGTAGAAGAAATTTGACTTTTGCTGTTCAGCAATGTTCCTTTGTTCAATACAAAAGTCTATTAAAATCCAGACAAAAGGTGAAGGAATATCTAAGGTGTATGTTTCACTGCAATCATACCATCCATATCACAGAAGATATAGCTGAACTTTGGTTTGTAAAATCTAAGACTGCCTTCTTTCTTCCTGTCTTTTGACAATTCATCTATAAGATTATTCCCCGTAAACATTTTATGCAAATGAATATAAATTATGCATGAGGATAGCTGAGGTGTAATAGTAAGAAATATAATTACCATCTGAACTGTTTTGATGAAAATTTGAATTTAAATTTGTTTCAGCATCACAAGCATTCTTTATCAGCCCTTTTCCTTTCCAACCAACACTCTTTAAAAGGATTTCCTCCTCTCTCTCCATTTCTTCTTCAGCCTCTTCACTTATTTCATGATCAAATCCCAAAAGATGTAACAAGCCATGAATCTGCAAAAAGATGAAGTAATTGATATTCTCTCAAGTTCATCTTTCGGTTCACACAACATAGACATAGAGTATTAGAAGATACATTCCAACATGTTCATGGTATTATCTTTTTGAACTCCAGTTCACTTTCCAGTTATGCTGGTAGCAGAAGACAGCTACGTAATATAACACAAAAATGTTCAGTACCAGACAGGAAATAGTCAGAATATCATGAAACCAACCATGAGGATTCGGATCTCATCAAGAAGAGTGTGCCCTCTTTCCTCTGCTTGTCTTGCCGCTGTCTCAACAGAAATTACAATATCACCCAACATAAGCTGTATACAATTCATCACGCAGTTAGCATCAAACATTAGGTTCTAAATTTTACTCATTGTCAACAACACCCCATGCAACTTATAATCAGCTAGATAATGCAATTCTTACAATAGGAATCTTGAGCTCAGGTATATGTTGTGACATTGAGAGAACATCTGTGGCATGGTCTTCGTCTCTCCATTCCTTATTAAGTTTTCGAATAAACTCATCATTGCAAAGAAGTATTGACAACTCAACACTATCAAACCCACCAATAGAGCTTATAGCAGTGTCTCGTGTTTTATACCTCGGACTTTCCAAACCATCAAGCGCCAGTTTCATTACCATTGGAGCATTTAGTCGAAGCAACTCCGCAACGCTCTGTACCCAGTAAAAACAAAGAGACCAAATAAGAATGCATAATGCAGAACTCAAATACAAATATCTCTTTAGATGGAGTTTATTTGAACTTGTCATGTAAGTCCAAGTACTTAAGCAAGTGTTTTCATTAACGTGTCTTATAATCTTCTAAGAGCATCTCTTCCAAACAAAAAATTTTCAAAATCAATATTTTTCAAACTCAATTTTTTATCCTAAAAAACATTTGTTCATTGCCTTTATTTCTTCTCTTATAAATCCCTATTAACTTAACAAACTAAAATATTAATGAGTACCAAGATTTCGGGATCGTCAGGCAAATTTTCTTCAAGGCAAATGTCCACCCGGAGTTGCATCTCCTTCTCTTTGTTCTTGTGCGCTCTCCGCCTCCTCGCCTTGAAATACTCCCTCTGTTCGGCGCGAACTCCCGACGCGAGGCTACGCGTCCCTTCATTCCGGCACCGGGCAAGCGCGTGAAAGCTGCGGCGGAAAAGCGGGGATTTCAGCAGAGAGATACCGGGAGAGATGGCCCTATCGGATGCGGGACAGAAATGAGTGGGGTGAGTGACGCACGTGACGGCACGCGCCATGGCGTAGAGAGGAGGACTGTGGCGGAGGTGGTGGGAGAAACGGAGTAACATGTAGGAATGGAGTTCCCACAAATGGCTGTTCCTTGTTGAATGGTTTCAGGGACGTAGTGCAACGGGTACCCTGGGGAACCTGACCTACTCAGGGAGATTGAGACGCCAATAAATCTTTTTTATTAATAATTTTTATTTTTTTTAAATTAAATTTAGGGAAAGAAATCTGATGTTGAGAATATAAGATGGAACTAAGCTCCTTATTGGATTTGATGAGAAACAACCACGAAGAAAAGTGAAGAGAATCTATTCTGGCCTTATATTATAGATCGTAGAGAGAATTAATTTTCGCTGAGAGATAATTATTCTCCACTAACCAGAATTATTGCTTTTCTTTATTTTTTGCAATTTTGTAATTTTTTTATTACATGTGATCTTCAAAAAATAGTGATTATTTCAATAATAATTTTTTTCATTGTCCTATTTGTTTTATCTTATTTATTTTATTTTTTCGGCTCTTGTTTATTTATTTTTTCGGCTCTTGTTTATTTATTTTAAATAATATAGAAAAATTTTGGTGAAATTATGTTTTATGTAATGTTTTACTAATGTTATAGGTGATAACATTTAATATTTCTCATCTACTAAAAAATTTTGTTAACTTTTTTATATCATATTTTGTCAGTTAAGTAAAAAATTTCAAATTCAAAAATGAATTTGTGAATAAGAGAAAGACTGTTTTTAAAATAACATTATTTTTTTTAAAATTTAATTCTTAATTTTTAAATAAATCTTTTTTTATAATATTATTGTATACAGTTAAAATTATCTAGTACTTGTTTGTTTTTTTCTGTAGAGGGATTTAAGGGAGATAAAAACACATACAGAAATTTGAATTTTTGATGTACTTTTAAAACCCTCATTTTCTAGTTTCCAATAATCAAAATATCTCCTCTTTACATGTGAAGAAGAAAGGCAAATAATATATATATATATATATATATATATATAATTGATTATATTAAACAATTAATCGATTATGTGATAATTTGAAAAAATTATTAAAATAAAATTCTTATAATAATAAATAATTAATAATATCATTAAAATAATAAATAAAATATTAAAAGAATTATTATATTTTTTATTATTATTTTCTTTATTTTTTTTTATTCTCCCAATTTTACGCTATAATTCAAATAAAGACTTAAAAAAATGGTGAGAAGCCTAGAAGTAGTAAAATATTATTTTACCCTAGGGCTTAGACATTTTTATTAACTATATTTTTTTTCTTATTTCTACAATTGTAGAAGTCTAGTACATTTATTTTTCGTATTTTTACATTTGTTTTATTTTATTTACAACTCCTGAATTTCCATTAATTATATTATAAACTATTTTAATATAAAATTTTCATAATCTCAGTTAGTCACATTTTTTCATTCAAATATGTTTTCAATATACTATATAAAAATAATTTGATTATATTTTTTTAAAATAATTTTTGTAAAATATTATAAACATAATTTTAATTTATAAAAATAATTTATATTTATTTATTTTACTATATTTTTAAATAATTATTTCATCTTAAATTTTATCTTAATTTAAATTTAAATTTATTCTTATTAAAATTTATAATAAATAATTTTATTTTATTTTTAATTAATCCTCTCATCTATCATTTTTTTTTTCACTTTATTTCTCTCTATTACAAAAATTCACTTTTCATTATTTTTTTTTCTTTTTCACTCAATCAATTTTATCTCTCAATCTAAACAAACACCTAATTTTAATATGAAGGCCTTTAATTTTTGTCCTCTTAGACGTTAAAATTAAGATTAGAGACTGAATTTATGTTAATTAACCACATAATACCTAAAATGTTTCACCAGCATCCTACTTATATGGGTTGAAATATTCCCTACAGTATCATATTTAAACAGAAATCACATTTAGGTTTTATATGTGATTTACTTTAAATATTTATATTGATTAGATTTTTTTTTGGTAACGTAGGAAAGTATGGCACTCGAAGTCATGATGTAATATATAGAGTTAACTTATCTTTTTCTTATTAATTTTTTATTATTCATTTTACTTTTATATATATATATATATATATATATAATAAATTTATATAATAATTTAAATAATTTACTGCAAACCAAAAAAAAAACTTATATAATTTAAATATTTATCTATTACAAAATTTAATTATAAAAATAAACCTTAGTTGCATAAACCAGTTCTAAATATAGCCGAACGGATGAAATTTAAAAATACAAACTGATCTTGTTTTCTGTCTCAGATCCCTCTATTTTTCTTCCACCCCCACCATTTTGTAGATAATATTTTTTAAACTAAAAATTCTAAATTGATAAATATTTTTCACATAAGCATACTTTGACAGTTTTTTTTCTTCATTATCATCTAATTTTATCCATAAGAGTACTGTGAAAGTTTTGACATGATGATAGTGACAAAGAACTCAGTAGCCAGCTACTCTTTATACTTGAAGGGCTTGTATTTGTGAAGAGATTGATAGATGCCTCGAATGGCAGCACATGCACTAGCCACTGCCAGTAACATGAAAAGCAAGCTCAAAGTTTTAAGGCCAAACCACCTCATTCCCTTTTTGATTTTTTTTCTTGTAATGTACATCTCCACTGGAACCCTACGGCCCAACAGCGCAATCATCTCGTTGAAAAAGGGCATTGCCATAGCCAAAACAGTCAATATCACCACAAATATGCTCCTCCAAACTAACCTGAAGAAGTTAAGCTTGATCTTCATTTTCCCCATGCTCATGGGGTGTTCCCCATGAACAAAACCTGAGCTTGCCCACCTTTGCCTGGCCCATGTTTCAACTAAACTAAAAATGGGTTGGATGGCAACCTGCAACAAGAAATTTACAAGTTACTGGTTAACTATTGGTTTTTCAATAATTAATTTATATCAGATAGACTTTTATCAGCAAAGCACCAATCTAAAAGCTTATTTAGGAAATTCAACTTTCACCCTACTTAAACTTTTACACATGTTAAATGATTTTCTTATGAAGTTTATGAATGGCCTTCTAAATCCAAGTTTTAATCTGCAAATGTTGATTCTAAACAGACCCTATGAACTTTGTGAACAAAATGTTTTGACTGTATCACAAGATGAAAGGCAATGTATCCTAACCTGAAATGCTCCAACCAGGTGCACAACAATAAAGACATTGGCTAAGTTAATTAGCCAAAAGGGCTATTTAAACCCAGAACTGAGTAGGATGTTTCCAGGTGTGTCTGAACCAAATGTTGCATAACCAGAGCATCCACATAGCAGGAAAAAAGTTGTCATAGTGCCTACGCCTATCTTATTTGCCGTCTTCATCACTTTATTTTCAGGTGGTGATGATTTCAAAGAGTCCTGCTTTTCATATTAGATCAGTGTAAATCGTTTTCAAGTGTAGTGACAAGATGCAAAAATGTATGAAACTTAGTTTTTAGCCTAAAAAAAATATGAAAAATAAAAGATACTTTTAAAGAACTTTTTAGTTTATTAATATTCAAATACTAACTTATAAACAAAATAAATCATTCTTTAATCTAAGGAGACATGAACAAAATTTTTGGGGTAAGAAAACCTGAATATCTACACCAATTTGAGAATAGGAACTAGCAAGTGCAATGTTTCCAAGTGCAATGAGAATATTCCAGAAGTGTGATGGACTTTGAATCTTGCTGCCCCACATTAAAGAGGTACTCTTTCCTTTCCCTGCTTCAAAACATGTTTACTCAAATATAATCTTCACAAACCATAACAAAAAAGAGAGATGCAGAAGAGATAAAGATAAGTTTATAATTGTTTATAGAAGAGATATAAAAAAACTTCAATTCATGGAAAAATAAAAAAGATAAGAAAAAGTGAATAAGAAGGAGGGAATTAACCTTGGAAAAGCATAGCAAGAGAAAGTGCAGCACCAATTGATGCATAACCAAAAGACGTGAGCGCGGCTATGATAGAAAAGCCAAGAAAGCTTGTGAAAGTGTGGGGTCTGAGACAAAAACAGTTCTACAGTTCCAAAACCAATCATGTATGCATTGGTCGAAAAACGACACGATGCTGCAATTCCATTCTGATGGAAACAGATGATTTTTCGTATTGTCCTGAAATATGCACTTATTAAATCAAGTTTCAATGATACAACTAAAGTCACACAAAATTACTGTTATTTTTTTATCAGTTATACACAAAATCCTGTTCTTTTGCCTTAAATACTGCCTCTGATTCTCTGAACACAAAATACCCTTTTGTATCTTTTTCCTTTAATTAATGTGATTTTTGTCCTTCATCTCTAGTGTCGTCCATCAAGGAACCATCTTCTTATGTTGAATCTAGTGCAGAACAATGTTGGATTGATTCAATGGAGGTTGAATTAAAAACTTTTTACTTATAATAATACTTATTCTGGTTGAATCTCTTCCTATCATGCAATCCTTAGCAACAAATAAGTCTATAAAATTAAGCAGAAATCTAATGGGACTATTGATACCCTTTTTTTGACGTTTGCTACTTTGAAAAGTATAATTTTCAATTCACAAGTCTATAAATATATTTTCAAACACACTTTTGATATATACATTGCTAGATTTTGACTTATATGATTTGAGAACCAAAATAGACAAACAGAGAAAAACAAAATCTCAGTTTTTTTTAAGGAAACTAAAACAAAAATAGGTATCTTTATTTAAACCAATCTTATTTAAACATGTTATATACTGTGATAAATCACTGTTTTCTATCATTAGACCAAGTAACCTGAAAAACAGAGAACTTACACCATACTTATGGCTGTGGTTATTGTGTAACCAATTCCTAGTCCAAAAAGGTTGCTGTAATGGAGGAGTCCACATATCTTGGCTATCTGTAGCGGATCTTCTTGGAACCGAGTGGAGTTATGGTCCTACAAAGTTTTATAATTCCTATCTAATTTATGATTTTGGTTTCCTAAACTTAATGAATATTTAATATATTTACTTGTATATTTACAATTTTATCATTTCAGTCCCTTTTTAGTTTTTAAACTCTCGTATAATTTATAATTTTATCTCTCTCAAACTTAATGATCATTTAATATATTTAAGTATATCTACAATTTTATCTTTTATCTTTTTTTTCTTTTATATTTATTTATTATTTATTAATAATATATTATTTGGTTTCAAGATCAGTGCTAAGGACCCATTGTTGGCAATTTTACCACCTTATTATTTGACAAATAAATTGCAATCAGAATTGAGCTTTGGAAAATAATTATATGACATGACATGAGATTTGACAGATTAATCAGTTGCATTGTTACATACCTAAGATGCTTCTTACTGCCTCCACTTAAGTATGATTCCTCTTGCCAGTGACAGGATCTGGTGATCTATAACAATCTGCTAGAAGACTTGAAGTACAGAGGTTGACACTTGCAAGGAGCAAGATTGAGAATATGCCAATTATCCATCCCAATTGTGCCATGACCCAAGGAATAGACAACACTCCAGCACCAATCACTGCTGTTATTATATGTGCACTTCCTGTCCATGCTGTCCCTGCTTATTTCTCTTCCAAGCTTAAACTTGTCACTATATACAACAATTACAATCAATGGTTCCATGTATGTATTGGACACTATATAGTTATTTTTAACTGCAGAAGATGCATGAAATGACTCAGAATTCAAAAATCTCCACCATCAAGATATATTACCAACTGCAGAAATGTTATAAGTGGATTTCGTAAAGTTTAATTAAAATAGTATCATACTTTATTTTAACAAGATTTGTTGATCTATAGTGTGAAAATGAGAAAATATATCAAAACGTTCATTAAAAACATAATTAATTTATAATATATAATTAAAGTGTAAATCTCTCTTCACTAATTAAATTTATAAGATTGAATTAATCATATTTTCATTTCTAATATAATACTTACATAATTTTCATTCAATTTTGGATAAATTTGTATCACTACTTAAAAACAAGAGAATTAGTCAAATTTATTTTATTTTACAGTCAAATAGAAAATATTACGGTTAGTAAATTAAACTATAAGAATATTTCATATCTTATTTTTATTAATTTTTATTATTTTATAAATATTCTTATCTTTAACATCGCCTGTAGTAAATAGGACTGGTAATTTAAAGGTTAAAAATTTTAATTTTATGAAATAAAAAACATTAAAAATGTATTTAATTAATATTTGAATAAGTGAGAAATTAAATATTTTTTTTATAATTGGGTTGAGATGTAATAGTTTTTAATTTGTAATAAAGGTAACCTCCAATAAAAATAAATCTAAATTGTTGTCTTTAAAGGTTGAGTTTTTACCAACCCCTTTCATTTATTATGCATGGGGACCCTTTTGCTTATTATTTGGTACAGAAATCAATCCAAATTCGTAGTTATATTCTTTGTTTGTTCCAAAATCACTGATATCTTAGTTTTTTTATTCTAAAATTATTAATATTTTATAAATTTCAGTTTAATTAACTTAATTTTTTATTAATTAAATAATGAATTACTTTATAATCTGTAAATACTCTTCAAAAATTTGTGTGCATTAATTTTATACATTAATATTATTAAACAGAGGAACATAGGTAAGCCTAAACTTCAAATAACTGTTTTGAAATGAATAATTTTAGAATTACTTATTTAAATATTAAAAATAAATTATTTATTAAATAAAAATAAAAAGTTGATTATTTTTAAAATAAATAAAATAGACAAAACTACAGATAAAAAAATTATTTAATTTATTAAAAAATATTTAAGAACCTTACTGGACTAAAAAAAGTCAAACTTTTATATGTATATGTATATGTAATGTTAATTTTAAGATAGAGGAAGTATGTATAAGGTTTTGATTAATTAATCCATAACATATTTGGCATTTACTTTAAACTTATAATTATGAGAAAACCTTTTTTTAAATTTCTTAATTAATTGAAATATTTAATAATGTAATATCAGATCATATAACTTAATTATTTTTAAAAATATTTAATGAAAAGAACATTGACCATAAGTAACTGCATATGACATTTTTAAAAAAATATTAAACAATAATATAGAAAAAATATTACTATAAAAATCAAATGAATCAAACTGTAGATAACGTTAATGTTTGATGTAATATTATTAGTCTAAACAAATTATTTGTCAATCAATAAAAAAATTATCATTAAGAATAAGTTTTAAAATAGATATATAAAACAGAACAGACTTATTATCTCAACATGAATTATAATTTTGAATTGAGAAGGTGATGAACCTGACTAATCAATGGTTTTTACTTAATTTTGAAAACAATTTGTTTAAATTAATCTTTTTATTTCTTACTGAGTGGTTTATTTTACACAAGGTTAATTTTGTTTAAAATATTTAGTTATCATAAATAACATGCATATACATGATGAAAATTAAACACAAATTATATATTTATCAATATACATGATGAAAAATAAACATGAATTAACTATATATAAGTTGTAAATGTAAGGTTGAATGATTAATCAAAGTAGAATGATAATTTTGTCAAAGGAGAACAATAATCACATGACGAAGAAGATGAAGAAAAAGAAAAAATGAGGTCATTTTAATTGAAAATTTTAAAATATTTGCATGAAGAAGATTTGGACTGAGAAAGAAACCTGTGTCTTCTGGGTTTGCGATCATCGTCCAGAAGTGAATCAACACCACCTTTAATCGCCCCTGCAACATCCTCCACTTCATTCATTTTTCTTTTCCAAAGCTTCAAACTTTCAACTTTTTGCAATTATGAAAATGCTACCAAGTATACAACCAATGTCACCCCTTTATAAATGTAAATGTTTTTAACACACACATCAAGTATTTTGAGATAATATAAAGTAATTTAATAAGACTTAATTATGCTTTTTTAAGCTTTTAAAATTTAAGATGATTCTAAATTTGGTCCTCAAATTAAAAAAAAACTTTTAAAATAAAATAAAAGTTTAATTAATGAATATTAAATTCAAAGAATTAAAATATTCTTTAATCTATTATTTAAAAATATATTTTATTAAATTCGACAGATTAAAATGTTTTTTTTTGTTAAAGTAGTTTAAATTCGTAATTGTCATGAGACAATTTTAGTCTGAGATAAAATTTGAATTAATAATAATTCAGGTATATATTATGAATAAATCAAAGAAAAAGGTAGAACTTTAATAATTAAATTAGAAAAGAATACAATTCTTGAAGCAGAATGGTTATGAAAATAATTTTAAGATTTAGGATTTAAATTTTAGGGTTTAAGATTTAAATATTTTTACGAGGAAAAATGAACATATATTTCTTAAATTAAACATGAATAATATATATTTTTTAATCCTTAGAGTCTTAATCAAGTTAATTCTATGGAGTATTGAAGGCAAACTCAAATCGACATTCACGTATAATAATGTTAAGTTAACACGCTAAACAAAAGAGTATATGAATGAAAATAAATATAGTATGATGTTGAAATGAAACTTCTCATAATATGCATGTAGAGTTTTGTTATTAATACATTTCAGAGATAACACATAATATTATTGGATTTTATTATTTATTGTAATAAAATAACTAATTATTGAATATATAAATTAATCATCAATTTTTTTATGTATTTTTTTTAAATATGGTAATTTGATAAATATGGCACATCAAAGTCTTTATTTCCCCTTTCTATTCCTCCCTCTCTCGTTATTACAGTTTTTTCTCAGTTTACATTTCATTCTTTTTGTTTCCTTTAAATATTTTTTTCACGAGATATTTAAAATAAAAAAACCTGATTAATTTTTTTAAAATTATATTTCACAACAATTTAAAATATATTTAAAGATTTATTTTAAATAATAATATAATTTATTCTTTACAAGTTATTTAAAATAAAAAACTAATTAAATTACTAAAATAATTATAATTTAAAATAATTAAAATATTTTTAGATATTTATTTTATTTAAAACATGTATTTTATTTAAATATAAACTAAATTATATTATCATTTAAAATAAACTTATAAATATATTTTAAAGTATGATTTAAAAAATAATATTTTTTTACGATAAAAAAATAAATAAGATAAAAAAAACGGATAGAGATGAGATGAGTTGACTTACACTAAGACATATTATTGATTCTTAATCCAACATCAAAGGATGAGTTGATGACCTAGTATATGCTAATATATTTATATATATATATATATATATATATATATATATATACTTTTAAATATATATTTAATTATATAAAAAAATTAAAATTTATTTATTAATTAATATTTTTATTAAATAAATTAAAATTTATTATATTTATATATTAAAATAAATACTTATAATTAAAAATTAAAAATTAATGAATTAATATTTATAATTTAAGTTATAATATTATAATATATTTATATTTTTTAATAATATAATAAAAATCATATTTATAATTATAATATTTTTATTTTTATTTTAATATTTTTTTAAAAACGAATCAATGCACTGACCAACGGGTCTAACCCGTTTTATTATTAGATATAATAAAATAATTAATTATTGAATATATAAACTAATGATCAAATTTTTTTTCATGTTTTTCTTTATATGGTAATTTTTTTATGGTATACATGGCACATCAAAGTCTATACGGATATGGTTACAATCCTAAATTTTGTGATATCGTGTATTTATAATTTTAGTTTTAAAATGATCGTTAAATAATATATCTAATTATATAGTAATAACTTTAATTTCAATTTAATATTTATTCCTAAGAATATATTATATATTAACCTTTATTATAGTTTCGTAATAACAATCTTTTTTTAAATGTTTATTTTTTTCTCTCTTCTATCAAACTTTTTAAAAACTTCAATATTTATTTGAAGGAATTTCAAACATTTAATTTAGTGTGGTAGTTTGATTGTTTTATTTCATTCAATAATTATTCTTACACAACTTTTATTTTCCAAATTTTAAGAAAAGAAAAATAATCTAATTTTATTATGTATGGTCACCCAATAACTTTATTTAACCACTTAAAATCATTTAATAAAAGAAAAATGATACTTTAACAACTCAAATCTATATAATTCCTATAAATAACTCTCTTTTAATATTATAATAATAGTTTTAATTTATTTTTATTTTTATTAAATCATTCTATAGATTATTATATTAATAAAAATGAGTTGTTTAAAGGGTTATATGATTTCTGCTTATCAAAATATCACTACTCTTAATAAAATACACATTCATTCCACACATCATATTACTTAACATTTCTTTTTCCCTTTCTTTTCGTCTCACTTTTAATACTACAGTTTTTTCTCATCTACATTTTTTTCTTTAAATATTTTTTCACGATATATCTAAAACAAAATGATTAATTTAAAAAAACTATATTTCACAATAATTTAAAATATATTTTAAGATTTATTTGAAATAATAATATAATTTATTCCTTACCAATTATTTAAAATAAAAAATAATTAAATTATTAAAAAATATGATTTAAAATAATTTAACATACTTTTAAAGATTTATTTATAATAAAAAGTAATTTAAATAAAATACGTATGTTATATTTAAATAATTTAAACTAAAATAAATAATTTAAAAATTACAAATAATATAAATGTTAACCCAATAATTTATTGATTAGAGTGAAAAATATTTGATTAGGTGAACTTAATAATTTAATAAATATAAAAAATTAAAAGTTAATTATTTATTAAAAATATTATTTTTTTAATGTTCATCATAAAAAAATATTATCTGATTAACTAAACAGATTATTTATAATTTTTAAAATATTTATCTTAGTTTAAATTATTTTAAATATATTAAAAAATTTATTTAATTTTAAACATGTATTTTATTTAAATGTAAACTAAATTATATTATTATTTAAAATAAACTCATTAATATATTTTAAATTATTTTAAAAATTTGTTAAGATAAAACAGATCAACTCATCTCATTTCTAGTTAAAAAAATGAAATAAGATAAAGTAACCCATCATATTCAAAACAAGTTATAGACGTGAGTGCATTCCATGAAATATAGTGGATGAATTAATTTATAAGTCAATAGTTTAAGTTTAATTGATTAATATTTATAATTTAAATTATAATATTACAATATATTTACATATTTTAATAATATGATAAAAAATTATAATATTTTTTATTTTAATTTTAACATATAATTTTTTTTAAATGCATCAGTGGACCAATGTGTCTCGTTCCAATAAATGGGAGACCAAAATAATTAAAATTACCAACTGTTTTAATAGACAATGACTTTATATATAAATAGGACTTATGAAGGATGGTACTACCTTAAAAAATCACTCTAATAAAAATAATAAAGGACACAATTATATTAAACTTAGAAGACCTACGACATTTAAACTACATTTTATACATGAAGGGTTTGTATTTAAGAAGAGCTTCGCCCAACCCTCGAATAGCTGCAAATGCAATAGCCATTGACAATATCAGGAAAGAAACATTCATTGTTTGAAGTCCAAACCATTTAATTGTTCTTTTCTTCATCCTTTCTTTGGCAATGAACATTTCAACTGGAAAATAGATGACCAAGGGCCAAAACGCCGTAGCCCCCAAAAAGGCAAGCATTTCATTGAAAAAGGGCATTGCCATGGCCAAAATGGTTGCCACCATCACAAACATGGTCCTCCAAACCACCCTACATAAATTCAAGCTAAACTTCATTTTTCCAATGTTGATTGTGTACTCCTTTCTCACAAATTTTGATTCTGGCCACCTTTGTTTAGCCCAAGTTTCCACCACACCAAAAATTGGTTGGGTAATTATCTACATATGCATAATTCATCCAAGATCATTGCCCATTTTAACATAAACAAACTAAGATAGGATCAAGGATTTAAAATTATTGTATGATTAGAAGGAGCATTAAGAAAGAGTGAGTGAAGAAGACCTGATATGCTCCAACTAGATGCACAACGATGAAGGCATTGGCCAAGTCAACAAGCCAAAAAGGGTCTTTAAATCCAGAGCTCATAAGGATGCTACCAGGAGTGTGAAAGCCAAACGCTGCATAGCCAGAGCAAGCAGATGACAGAAAGATGATTACCATCGTCAACATTCCTATCCTGTTCGCCGTCTTCATCACTTTATTCTCCGGTGGTGATGACTTTAGAGAGTCCTATTTAAAACCATCATTATACAAAAGTTTAGAAGATAACTTCATCATTTATTCATTTCTTCAAAAACTTTACAATCATCATGTTCATACCTGGACATCTATAGCAATTACAGCGTAATTGCTGGCAAGTGCAATATTTCCTAGTGCCACCAGCATATTCCATACTTTGTCTGCAATGTGTTGCTCCTTGCTTCCCCCAAACAAAAAGGTACTCCTTTCTCTTCCTGTTTCACTCCCTATTTAGACATGCAAAACCAATATTTATACATGAATTCTAGAGAGACAACAGAAAATGGTGAAAGCAATTTAGTACTGTACATTTTGGAACATTTCTTTACGTGAAGAAGTTTCTATGTTCATGTGGCATTTTTGAAACTCATAGAACTCAAGAATGAAAAAGATGAAGGAGAATTAACCTTGAATGATGGTAGCAACAGAAAGTCCAACGCCAATAAATGCATAACCAAAAGACGTAATTGATGCTATGAATGATAGCCAAGATAGGTCATGGAAATTGGGGATTTGAGACAAAAATATTTCTACAATTCCAA